GGGGTAATTCGGGAAAGTCGGCATGTGGGGTGGAGGTAGAGGGTTCGGCCGGCGTGTGATGTGCGGCAAACGGGAACGTGCTCTCGTCAAAAGCAATGTCCCGAGTGTGAAAGAAACGATGAGTATCAAGGTCATACACACGCCAACCTTTTGTGCCGGAGGGGTACCCAACAAACATGCACTTGGTGCTTCGAGGAAAAAATTTGTTGGATGTCCTGAGTCGTACAAAACATAGACATCCAAAAATTCGAAGATGACTAAGATCTGGTGCTTTGTGATTTAGAACTTCAAATGGAGACTTACCACCAAGTAGTTTGTTGGGAGTACGGTTAATTAAATAAACAGCAGTACGAACACATTCCCCCCAGAATTCAATAGGTAAGTGAGCTTGAAACATAAGGGAGCGGGCGACATTTAATATGTGTCTATGTTTTCGTTCTACCCGACCGTTTTGTTGTGGAGTACCTACACAAGAAGTTTGAACAAGAACACCCAAAGTGGCATAATATGACCGAAGGTCTTGATTGACAAATTCGGTGCCATTATCAGAACGAACAATTTTTATGGTTTTATGAAATTGGGTCTGTATCATGGAAAAAAATTGTTTCAAACAACTAGGTACTTCAGATTTATCAATGATCAAATAAGCTCAAACTGCACGAGAATGGTCATCGACAATAGTGAGAAAATAATGTGCACCAGTAGCTAAACAAGGGGTGTAGGGACCCCATAAATCACAATGAATTAGATCAAAAACACTTGTAGCTTTATTGGAACTAATGGAAAAAGTGAACTTGTTTGGATTGGAAACAAATTTCACTCCAACACAAGAATATTGAGTAAATTACCACGTTTCCATAATGTAAGCATCAAACCTTTTTGGCACATCCTAGGAAAATACTCATCCCACTACCTCATTATTGTTTCACTTTATTATTTGTAGGTTAAACTTTTTTTCTATTCTCATACTTATTTTTGTTACTCAATTGTTAAAATAATATAGTCATACCATTGGTCTCATGCTTTGTACAGAATTTGATACACTTTTTAATGAATAAATTTTATTTTAAAATTTATATTATCATTTAAATAAGTTAAGGGTCCGTTTGGTATACGGAATTGACGGATTTGGAATTAAAATTCCATGGGATTCAATTCCATAAAATTGAATTATGTCAATTCTAATTCATTTTTTGTACTATCAATTTCAAATCCACATAATTTTTATGCTACCAAATACCAGAATTGGAATTGAAGTCCTCAATTCCAATTTTATAGTTTGAATTCCATGTACCAAACGGGGCCTAAATTGAAAATAATTCCACTCAAATCTTGTTGTCATGAGTCAATTATTTTGGGACAGAGGCAATAAAGAATTGAATATATGCGTACATAATCATGACAATTAAGGATTGAAGGGAAATTGAAGTATTGATTTTTAATTTGCAGTAGCTAGTCCACAATCATCATTATCATGTTTTAATTTGTTTTTTTTTTCTAATGTAGGGTTAGAATTAAGCATCTCTCCTACACCATATATACCTACTTATATTAGCAGTTGCATGCATGGCCATAATTGCCACAAACTATATGATGAGTAAATCTTAATTTGAGTATGGAATTGACAAGGTAACACCAAGCTCCACTAGCCAAACAACCTGAAATTGGAAGTTGATATGTAAATAAATAAGCAATGAATTGTTTGACAATAATTCCAATCTTTAATTTCAATAATAATTAATAATATTGAAAAGACTATTTAATTACAGTGTATCATTTTACTTTAATGTTTTATAGTCATCGCTGAGTTCGACGTTAATCTACATTTGAACCACCATCATTCTGTAAATACTATCAAGCGATAACTTTAAGTATTTTACAATTTATCTGACATGTGTACTTTGAAAAACCATATCCAAAACCTTAAGCTAATTATAATAAATACATAGATCTTTTCATTTTATTTTACTTGGTAATTGGTATTTATGCATAACTAAATATTCCCTCTGTCTCTGAGCTAGTATTTATCCATTATTGATTTTTTAGTCAAAATTAGTAAATTTTGATCGTAAATTAAATAAATATGATATTAAATATTGATACAAAAATAATTTTATTAGAGACTTTTTATAAAATATTTTCAAAATATTACTTTATCTAATTAATATAAAGTATATATTTTATTCAATTGTAGGTTATATGTTAAAAATGATCGATTACAAAAAGTCAAAACTGGACAAAGGTAGTCTTAGGATAAACTAATTACCTCGTTTGAAGTAAGGCTATGTGTTTACGGGGCATGAGAAGGGACTCGATTCACCCTCCATCACGTCCCTCTACGATTACAAATCTACCGTGAATAGGCATTGCCCTTTTAAAAGTGATCACCATCATTCCGTGGTGAGGCTTCTTCCTCGCTAATTGTTTTTAAATATTTCAATCAATCAAAATTTAACGTATATTCACATCACATATCTTTCATTTACAATCACTATAAAATATAAATCCATTTATGCACCATCAATACCCCCACCATAACACATACATGATCTAATTAAGTTAGGTTGGTGAACATGGGGTTTTTGGTAAGCTCTTAATAATTAACCATTCAACATGAAAACGACGTTTAATTTGGTCCAATGAAGGCTAACTTTTTTAAATCTTAGTGACAACATTAATGATTCATGTGTTTAATGACTAAGTCAGCTCAATTATGTGATGTAACGCTACACGTCTCCTTAATGTTTCCCCTTTTCTATTTCTATCTATTCTTTTGGGAACAACGTAACATACCTTCCATCACTCTTCAATCCCTTGACTTCCACTAACTAAGATCCCAAAGTACATCCATCTACAATACAATACAATACAATACAATACAATACAATACAATACACAAATGCTAAAAAATCGTTGGGCATGTTTGGGAATAGCGTTAGAGATTAGCTTTGGCGTTTTGGATTAGATTTTAACGGTGCAGATTAATTTGAAAACGCTGACGCTAAACGCTGGCCGTAGATAGCCTTTTCAAAACGCTAACGCTAATCTCTAACGCCATTCCCAAACAAGCCCATTATAGATGATAATGGTCTGTGTGAATTTGTACCAACACAAAAGATATTCATCCATGAATTAATACTATGGGTATACTGATCATTATCCTATCGTCGGTAAGTGTACACATTTATAGACAATTGTCATTCCTTGTGTTAAACGTGGTGAGTTTCTATCATGACTCGAATGGAGTATAAAGATATATATTCATTGTTTATTTCCTATAGTTTATTAATTTGCTCATGTGAAAACGTTTATATAATTTTAATGTGAGAACATAAAAACATAACATTTTCCAGCCTTGCAAACAGATTAAGTTTTCACAACTAGAAGCCTTTTTTCTGGGTACCATAAGAGCATGATAAGCTAGTGGGGCTTGACCCACCGGCCACCGGCATGGAGCCGTCATGCCCCGCCACGGCATGACCACGATGCCACTGCCGGCGTGACAATAAGGGCTTGATGGTTGTCATGTACGTTGCCTCTCTCTCCTTTTATCAACTTTCTCTGTTTTATAGAACTAACAGTCTCTCTTTCATTTTTTTTTCATTTTCCTCAAAACACTTCCATTTTTGTAAAAATGACTAATATATCCAAATTAAATAAAATCATTACAATATGCTTCTTTCTATTTTGATTGATATAACAAGTTATTTAAATGATTTATCTCTCTTTTTTTCTTCGATGTTAAGGATATAATTACGAGACGAGAGTATTATTTTTCATCTCAAATCAATCAGAATTTAACACATACATCTCAATTTCAACAAATTACAGTAACTCACTCTCACACCTCATCACTTCCCTTCACACCCACACAAATAGAATGGCTTTTCATGTCGATTAATTTCGCATCATAAAAAAAAAGGATACTATATATGAAAGAGGTTTGTGCCTACAATGACTACCACAACCTTAAATAATCTGTCTGTGTGGTAATGCCATGCCTGCCCTCACCTCCTTAGCTTTTTCCCCAATTTCATATCAACCGCTGAAAGTGCATGACACCTACCCAACATATCTAAGTTGACCTTACTGGGCATTATTTTTATATATTTATTTTTTGGTTTGTTTCATAATTTCTCTCCTTCAGAAATGTATAATTATTATCCCCTTATAGAGGTATGTTTATTCAACTCTTTTTTAATCAAAGTTAAAGAAAACACATTTTATCATGGATTATATGCATATATTTTATTAATGGAGAAACTAATAACTTTAAGATAACGTATGTTGCTATATATCCCACAGTGACGACTTACTGCTACAAGTAAACACACATCAAAAGATGAAGTTTATGAAGATTGGAACAAGACCAGATACCTTTTACACTGAAGATGGTACTAGGTATGTTCGTACAAAGTTAATTACTACGTTGTTTAAATTAATTAATTAATTACTTTCTTGGTTTTCTTTTATGTATGTGTCTAATTAAGACGTTGGGAATTTATTATGTTACGTATTTTACACTTGAAATAATGCATCATCGAATAGGACAATAAGTTCAGATGTGCCGAGTGATCTTACTATCAAAATCAACAACATGGCCTATCATCTTCACAAGGTATATTTCTTCTTGGATCCTTTTGGATTTAACAAGAATATATATACAGTAATTAATCTTTGAAACAGATTCTAAGTGTTTTGGTCTTTTTTAGGATCCACTGCTTCCTAAGTGTGGGCTCTTACAGAGACTGGTCTCAAATCGCGCACAAGATCCGGACGATGATATCAGCCTGGAACTGCACGATACGCCCGGGGGCGAAGAGGCTTTCGAGGCGTGCGCTAAGTTCTGCTACGGGATAACCATAAACGTGAGCGCCCGAAACTTCGTCCCTCTTTTCTGCGCCGCGAAATTCCTTAGAATGACGGGGGCATTCGAGAAGGGGAACTTGGTCCCGAAGCTCGAGGCGTTCTTTGCCTCGTGCGTTCTCAAAGGCTGGAAGGATTCGATTTTCGCCCTCGAGACGACCCCGAAGCTGGCTGAGTGGGCAGAAAACCTCGGGGTCGTCAGGAAGTGCACAGACTCTGTGGTGGAGAAAATCTTAACCCCTCCTGCGGAGGTCAGGTGGTCCTACACCTACACCAGGCACAGGAGGGGTAAAACGAGGCGCGGAGCTAAATCTCCACCGCCCAGAGATTGGTGGACGGAAGATCTCTCCGCGCTCGACATAGACCTCTTTAAATGCACGCTCACTGCGGTGAAATCATCGGGCGCTTTCCCGCCACAGCTCATCGGCGAAGCCATACACGTCTACGCCACCCGGAAGCTACCCGACGCCACAAAGACAACGAGATTCTCTCCATCGACGTCATCGAGAAACCCGCAGGCAATTCTCGAGACCATCGTGGACTTGATCCCGACAGAAGCAGGATCAGTCTCACTTAGATTCTTGCTGAGGCTTCTTAGCGCCGCTAACCACTTGGGAGCATCACCTGCAACGAAGGAGCAGCTCCTCCGGCGATCGGGGGAGCAACTCCCCGAGGCACGGGTGAGCGACCTGCTCGTGCCAGCGCCTCTGCAGCCAGAAGAGGATGGAAACTGGGGCTTGGAGACCGACACCGCACAGACAGACGGACGCCGGGGCCGAGACGTTGAGCTAGTCGGGGTTGTTTTGGAGAGTTTCTTGAGGCAGTGGAGAAGGGGACGACAGCTGGGATCGGGTGGCGAAGAAGAGAGCGATCAACGGCTGAGATCAATCAGGAAGGTGGGAAGGTTGATTGACTGTTATGTGGGAGTTCTTGCAAGGGATCGTCCTAGAGTCCCAGTTGAGAAATTGGTGTTTTTGGCTTCGGCTGTTCCAGACATTGGAAGGCCTCTTCATGATGAACTTTACCATGCAGTAAATACTTATCTTAAGGTATGTTATATATGTCCCCCAAATCAAACCGGACCAGACCAGATCAGAAACAACTTTAAATATAACTACAATCATATCAGATCGGACCTGCAAAAAATCAGCTTATTGTCAAAAGATAGAATTTCATAGTTTTCACATTTCACCTGCAGGTGCATCCTGAGCTAAGCAAAGCCAAGAAGAAGAGACTCTGCCGCGTTCTGGACTGCCGGAAGCTATCACCGGAGGTGCGGGCCCACGCGGTGAGGAACGAGCGGCTGCCGCTGAGAACCGTCGTGCAAGTGCTCTATTTCGAGCAGGAAAGAGGCGCGCAACTCCACGCACGGCCACGTGCGGCAGATGAGAAGGATGGTAGCGGTTCCTGATGATGAAATATAGATAAATCAAACAGATAAAAGGGAAAGAATAAGCATATAATATTGCTTAGGATCAAAGAACACTGCTTAAGCATATAGTATTGGGAAAGAAATTCATGTGTTTTCATTGATTATGTGTATATTCAATTCCCTTGCTGAAAAAAAAGGTATCTTAGCACCAAAAGGTTTTCATCAATAATATTCAATCCCCTTGCTGGAAAAAAAAAGAAGATATCCTAGCATCAAATGGTTTGTATGTGAGAAACTTTAAAAGAAATTATTATGTTTGGATGACGATTAGAGTTGGGAAACAATCCAGATTTATGGTATGTGCTTTCTAATCTTGAATTTTGTTTGGATGTCATATTTTGTGCTCCGTACTATATATTTTGAGCCCGCTAGGGATCTCTTCGATACAACCTCTTTACTTTCGACTTTCGAGTAGAAGCAAAATATGTGCATACACGTCCTTTCTAGACCATACTTCCGTGAAATCCAATTGGGTTGTTGTAATCCATCCCTCTCATGTTTAAAGGTCCCTTTTCTTTTCTAGACGTTCCAAAATTATGTTCACATTCTTGTCAAAGAATAGAATGGTATGTTTCCCATCCTTTTGTTTCTCTCTTTTCTGAATCAATGTTAACCACACAGTCAACTTTTGTGTTTTTTAGCAAAATTCAATCACAAGTGTTATTTTGTTCTTAAAATCCGTAATATTGAATCGTCAATTTAATTGTTGACCAAAAGGCTTTACATGGTCCATGAAAAGTGGTTGTACATCTTCTTGATCCAGTATCATTTGTATCAAAGAAAAAGGCTGCAGAAATTAAGAGGGGAAAACGCGTCCTGGACCGGGCCAATCTTCCGTTTTTGACTTGTTTTACATGCAAACTATTATGCATGGGGCGTGTGGCCATAAAACAAGAAGAAAAATAATCTACAAAACCTTATAGGAGGCTTTAACTCTAACATTTTCATTGATTTCAAAAATATTCAAAACTAAACACAAAGCTAAGGTGACCAGACCAGACCAAACAAGATGATGACCAGAACTCCTCTTCTACAACCCATCATCCTACCTTTCCTACTCCTCATCATCCAAATTCGCTCCTCCGAATCCGGCGACGAAGTTGCAGTCTATTGGGGCCAGAACAGGAACGAAGGCAGTCTCACAGAAACATGTGCAACAAGAAAATACACTCTCGTGCTGATTTCCTTTCTTTCGAGCTTTGGGGATGGCCAAACCCCGACACTCAACCTCGCGAGCCATTGTGACCCTTCTTCTTCATCTGGGTGCAAATCCATTGGGACAGAGATCAAGTATTGCCAACAGCAAGGGATCAAAATCATGCTCTCTCTGGGAGGAGCTGCTGGGAATTACTCCCTGTCTTCCCCGAAAGATGCTCAAAATTTTGCTGATTACTTATGGAACACTTTCTTTGGCGGCGGAGGCTTTCAAGACGTCATTTTGGATGGTATAGATTTCGACATAGAGGTTCCTACACCATACTTGGACCATCTCGCGCGTTCCCTCAAGTCGCATAGCCGAAAACTTTACTTATCTGCGGCACCTCAGTGCCCATTTCCCGATGCTCATCTTAGTGATGCCCTTAACACCAACCTTTTTAACTATGTCTGGGTACAGTTCTTCAACAACCCCAGCTGCGAGTATTCGCAAGGTGAGACTGATAGATTTTTCACTGCATGGAACCAGTGGGCTGCCTCATTCAACCGTTCGAAAATATTCCTGGGTTTGCCAGCATCTCCTGATGCGTCTGGCAGTGGCTATGTTCCTGTTGATCTGTTAGTTTCTAAGGTGCTTCCCACAGTAAAGAAGTCACCTAACTATGGAGGTGTAATGCTGTGGTCAAGATACTATGACAGGTTGAGTGGGTACAGTACCAATATTCGAATTACTCCTCTTTGCACGCCTCTTCAAAGTGCTCCCACATGCAGGAGCAAGGATAAGAATGGCTTTGAAGAGCGTTTCGGTCACATGTCATCTGATAGTGTTAAGGTTTATGAAACAGAGAATCTTGGAGGGCAGTGTTGTGAGACCATATGCTGGAACAACTGTTCTTGTCAGGCACATGCACCAGTGAATCAGGCCAACAATAGTGGGTGCCAGATATGGCTTAAAGGAAGCAGGTTCATTGAAGATGCTGCAGGGTCAAAGGTGTTTGTTGTTAGGCACAAAGGTATGCATTGTGCATGGACTAAAAAGACCTGTGCATGGACTAAAAAATACAAATGCTTGATTTGCCATATTCTTGTGAACTGTTGTAGTGAACAGGTGGTGGATATGGCTTATTGTTGCAGCGGGAGCAAGCTTAGCATTACCTCTGATATGTTACTTATGCTATGTGTCATTGAGAAAATATAAAGCAGCTGGTAATAATAACTGCTATAGAGTATTAATTAGTAATATCCAAACAAAGTTCTGAGTTTAATTAAGGTCCCCTTGGTGACTTGTATATCTCTTGTCACATTACCAGTGGACAGGAAAATGAAGCAGAAGAAGATATTACACGATATTGGAGGCAACGCCATGATTTTCATGGCTTATGGCAGAACCAAAAGGAACAAAAAACAAGGGAAGGAAAGAAATGAGGTGGAAATATTCTGTTTTGAGAGCATTGTGGCTGCCACAAACAATTTCTCAGATGCTAACAGGCTAGGAGAGGGCGGTTTTGGGCCTGTATATAAGGTAATGCACATAAATGCATGTTTGAGAATCAAAATCTGAAACTTACATATACATGACCTTTTGTAGATGTACAATAACACTTTCAGGGGACGCTAGCCGATGGGCAGGAAGTAGCAATAAAACGGCTTTCTAAAAGTTCTGGACAAGGGCTTACCGAATTCAAAAATGAAGCTAAGCTTATGGCTAAACTGCAGCATACAAATCTTGTGAGGCTTTTGGGGTTCTGCATTGAAAGAGACGAAAGAACATTAGTTTATGAGTACATGCCAAACAAAAGCCTCGATTTCTACCTGTTTGGTAGGCTGTCAAAAATAATGAATGTTAGTATGATTAGTGTGTCATGCTTTCTAACAAGCATGTTACCATCTGTGGCAGATGCAAGCAGACGAAATGTACTGAATTGGGAAAAACAATTTAACATCATTGATGGAATTACTCAAGGACTTCTTTATCTACACAAATATTCAAGGCTAAAAGTGATACATCGTGACTTGAAGGCAAGCAACATATTACTAGACGAAGAAATGAACCCTAAAATATCTGATTTTGGCATGGCTCGGATATTTGGATTGAGAGAATCCGAAGAAAACACAAATAGAGTAGTTGGTACACGGTGAGTTTATGTATAAGCAGACACCATTCATTCTACGCACCTTCTATGCGAATCTTGGTTGATTTGGGATTCTAAAATTCATCTTCTTTTTTCTTGTCTTCCCTCCTCAAGTGGTTACATGGCTCCAGAGTATGCAATTAACGGCGCTGTTTCGACCAAAACAGACATATTTAGCTTCGGTGTGTTGCTAATAGAGATCCTTACTCGCAAAAAGAACAATGGTCAGTTTGATCTAGATCGTCCTCTTAATCTGATAGGATATGTAAGTTTTCTAAAGCTACTCTTATGAAAATTCAATGCATATGTTATGATTCTAAGAATTGATCAACCTAGGCATGGCAACTGTGGAGAGAAGGCAGAGCTTTGGAGCTAATCGACGCGGAACTAGTTGAACAAAGTGTGCAGAACAAATTTCAGAGAAGCATTCAAATAGGGCTCTTGTGTGTACAAGATCAAGCAAGAGCCAGGCCTTCCATGTTAGATGTGATTTCGTTTCTATCGAACGATTCAATACAACTTGCTAAACCGAAAAGGCCAGCATTCTTCGTAGGAGGCGAGGTTGCAGAAGAATCAGAGTTGCAGCATAACAACATCGGGCAATTAGAGCATTATTCCACAAATTATGTCACAATTTCAAATCTAGAGGCAAGATGAAAGCCAGCCTCATTGGCATCTCAATGTTTTTGAGAATTTCGAAGCAATAACTCCATAGCATATTAGGGTGCTACACAAAACCACTTTATTATGCAGGGAATCAGAGATCTGTGAGTATTATGGTGTGTGTCTATGAGACTGTGACATTTGACGAGCTCAGAGTAATGAAATACTAAACGGAAATGTCAAATTCCTAACCTGTTCATTGGTTGCTTGAAGCCTGCCGTTGTGGCTGGCTCTCCGATTGATTTGCAGGAAACAATTGTTTGTTCAGGCTCATGAAGACGAAGTATTTTTAAAGCACCCACTGTACCAATTATTTGCCTCAGAATTATCATATAAATCATCAACCAATAAAACTGTACTTCCTTCTTTGGACAACAAAAATAAATGTTATACTCCATCCGTCATAAAACTATCTTCCCGTTTGTATTTACGAGGTTGGACTGATTTTATTTTTAATTCAATTTATTTGATAGTTTGACCGACTTTATTTTTAAATGTATTATGCAGTAATACAACCAAATACATTTAAGATAGTTAGGACAAAAAAAGTTATCCTATAAATGTCAAACCTGAATGGAATGGAATGTGTGTTCTTATCTCGTGAATTATACCATGGGTATGATAGGTGTGAGATATAAAAAGTTGTCTATTTTTGGTGGTTTCCTTTGAAAAATTTGCTTTTGTTCTTTTAAGATGCTAGTTTCACTTTTAAAATTATAACTCTCCCTTCTTAAAAGATTGTTACAACTTGGCATTTTGGTCAAACGGTGGCACACGTTGACCATGAATTAAATATAGTTTATGATTTTTAAATATTGCCAAAACTTGATCTTTTAAAACTTTTTTTGCAAAATAAATTTAATTTTTTAAATTTAACTAAATATAATTTTCAAGAATTTATGGTCAAAGAATGCCACAATTTGATCAAAAAGTCAAATTATTTTAAATTTTTTAGGGACAGAAACATTAAAAAATATGACTTCGAATGGTAGATGTTAAAAGAAATTCAAAATGATTTTTAAATTCACAAGTGTTTAAGTGATAAGTTAAACTTGTCATTTAATAAATAAGAGTTTTGAAAAAATATAATTTTAATTGTCCAAAACTGAATTTTTTAATTTTAATCAATTGAATATTTTAAAATATAGTTAGTCAAATATTTGACCTGCTAACCAAAAGGGATTGTTAAATAAGAACATTATATTGACAATCTTTTTTTAGTGTCGTAAATGTAAAAGAATCAGGAGAATGGAATGAGAATATACCTTTGTGAATTATAGATTGTATGGGCGTGGGGTTTTTTCAATATATTATGGAATATTAAAATCAAATTCATTTAAGAGAGAGAGAGGACAAAAAGGCTAGTTTCTATATGTAGCAAACATCTCCTATATCCAGTAGTCATTATCCCTAGAGTAGTCATGATCGGACTGCATGCGAACTATATGATAGATGTGATTTATATGATATGTGGGATTCGATATAAGTATTAAGGATTTATAAAAGTAATTATAGTACATCCAAGATATTGATGACAAAGTAAAGGTGTCTATTTTTTTCTTTTCTTTTTCTTGATTCCCACCAAAGTGAAAAGAAAATTTAATCATCTTTCTAATTCTTTTATCCACTCTTTCTTTGCAGTATAAATGTCTTCATATCACGGCAATTAGTAGTGGACAATTGGTTGTTTGTGGCGTAAATGTTTTGGTGGACCAGCACTAAGCACTTCCCATTTCTACAAACTTTTAAAAATAAGATAAATTTTAATGGAACTTTGGGTATCAAAAATACACATTCCATTAATAAGATATAGGGTGATGAACATGTTTAGACCTTCAAAAAATAGAAATGCACAATTGAAAAAAACTAACAACACATTGATGGACTTAAAAACGACACAAAGCAGTCGCAAATTGTTCATTTTTTTCCCAAAGCACGCCTTTCTCCTATAGTCCTTTTCTTGTTTCACGACCCGACGTCTCTTATAAGATGAAACTGCCTCCGCGTTTTTTTAATTTCTTTATTTAAGAAATTTTTATGTCCCTTAGATCTCACATTCTAAAGAACCGCATGCATTCTCATTCATCTTCTAAGATCTCATTCTCACCTGAACCAATACACACACATATACACAATATGCTATAACATCTTTAATAATTATAGGTGTCACAAAAAATGAAGAATATCTTTCGATATTCAAAAACTATTTCCAAAGTCTCTCCAAACTGCTCACTTGATGGAACGTGATACACTTGTATCGCACGGAGTTGTAAATTCTAATCAGTCTTTTTTGGGTGAACTTGATTCAATTCGGCCCATCCAGAAGCAACAGAAATAGGAATTGCCATGGTAGGAATTCATGGTGAAATGGGGTAAAGAGATAAATTTGTGAAGGATTGATATCGAATCCTATGTAAAGATATAAAGTGTGGATGAATGGTATGAAATATAATTGGAAAAATGGTAGATAGAAAAATAAAAAAATATTGAAAAGCCTGAATGAGTGAAAAAATGAAAATGAATGCCGATGAAGAAATTGAAATGGGTGAATGAAATGCCATGGAATGCCCAAATTTTATACTAATGGGATGGAAGTCCATAATTGAGTTTCATTATTGCCAGGTATACTGTTTTGTGAAGACATGCCAAACAAAAGGCGGAAACAACATATATCATTTTATTTTCTTTTTATATGAAGTACATTATTTCCAGGTATACTGTTTTGTCAAGACATGCCAAACAAAAGGCGGGAAACAACATATACCATTTTATTTTGTTTTTATATAGGGTATATGATGATGATATATATGACCTTTGAGAATAAAAAATTTTCTTAAATACATTATAAAAATGTTACATGTACTCTTTAAAATAATATGTTCCGATATTACTTTTTTTAATGTCCATGATAAAAAAAGTTTGATGGAAAATTTTAAAACATATCGAAATGATTTATAAAAAAAAAGAAATGTGAAAAAAGAAGGAAACAAAGAGGAACAAAAAAGTAAAAAAATTAAAAAATTAAAATTTGGTGTCCACTTCCCAAAATATATGGACTGAATTTTCTCAGTTTTGACACATCATTTTCCAGCGGCCAATTGGAAGGGCGGAGTCCTTGGCTGCCTTTGAATGATTGATACCGGCGGCGGGAACACCATGAATCTCGGCGAAGTTGCAGATTCAACAGTGAACTCGTCTCCTTACTGCTACAAGAAACTCTCCTCCCATAACATCAGAGAGTTCATCGATTCTGTCGATGCTGTTCTCTTCGACTGCGACGGTAAATGAGCGCCATAATCGCGTGTAATTTGAGCGCCATATCCAAAATTCATTCGTTTTCTGTTCAATTTTTGCTTTTAGCAAGACCTACAGCACGGCACTCTGTACAATTTCTGAAATTGATTTTGTTTCTACCTTTTAGGCGTGATTTGGAAAGGCGAAAAACTGATCGATGGAATCCCTGAGACGCTCGATATGCTCCGTTCCATGGTACCTCGATCCGCTTCATTCTTTTTCGTTTTGTTGCCTGATTCTTCGTAAGAGTATTTTCAGCTTTTTTGTTCCATAGTAAGTCATATGTAGGTTTTATATTGATTGATTGGTCTAATGGCGGCGTGCATATGGGGTACTTTCAGGGGAAGAAGCTTGTTTTTGTGACGAATAATTCGAGGAAGTCGAGAAAGCAGTTTGCCAAGAAGTTCCAGGCCCTTGGAATTCATGTTTCTGAGGTTTGTAATATGCCTGTTCGTGTGTAATGCTAGTATTGAGACCTGAGAGTGGCAAAGTGCACTTATGTAGTAGTCTTTTGTCTGAAATACGGTCTCGCTGCACTGCAGGGCGAGATATTCTCATCTTCATTTGCTGCTGCAATGTATTTGAAAGTTCACAATTTCCCAACGGACAAGAAGGTTAGTCGATCTGATGCTCAACTTCCTGCATTCCTCTTTGGAAGGATTATGGTTTGTTTAGACAAATTGACAATACTCGTATCACATTTGAAGGACTTATTTGACATTTTGAAGTCAGTTCTTAAAAATGAGATTTTCTTAGAAAGTGGAAAACTAAAAGAGATACTATGTTAAATGTCTTTCCGGCAACGAGTTCTCTATCTTATTGGCACAAATGATGTTTGAGAAATTACCAGTGATTAATCTACATGTTTCATGTTGATTCTAGATGAATTAAACCATGAATTGGTTGTAACTCTCTACAAAGCCTATGAATAAATTAATTTATTTCACTGTGCATCTATGTGTGATACAGTTTGCAGTAGTTAAACTGGACATGTCAATACTCATACTTCCAAAGTGCATTATGCTTTAGCTTTCCTATACCTACTGTTATGATCCACATTACTTGGAAATATATAATTTGGTGATATTTACTGCAGATATCAAATTGATATTTCAGCATTTCAGGTCTATGTTATAGGCGAGGAAGGCATATTGGAGGAGCTTGCCCTTGCTGGCTTCACAGGGATTGGTGGTCCGGTTGGTATCATTCTCTTTGTTTTTCATAATAGCCTTGCCTTACTTGAAGAATACCCTCTGTTTAGTGCATTTGTGTGTATGTGTCTATATAAACGTAGTACACACAACCAAATAATCAAAGCACTCATACTCAATAAATTTCACTTGGGGATAGGGGCTGGGTAGGGATGAGATGTCGCAAACCTTTCTTCTTCCTTGGAGTTACTAGGCTTTTTTCTCGAAGACCCCAAGTCCCCAACACAAAAATGGAAAAGCAAGAAAGCATAAAAAAGGCAGATCACAGAAAACAACAAGAGCAAGCAAGCAAACAAAGGAACAAGTACCCAACCCCTAAACAACACTCACAAACCCTCAAGAAATCTACAAAAATACAAAATATGTATGTATATAGACACACATACCCACGGTGTAAACTATAGAAATTATAGATACCCTAGGTCGTGTGGAAAGCTTAACTCTTTTGGCAGAAAAGTTGACTCTACACGAAGCGTCAAAAACTGTTAAGAACTTTCTGTTTCTTTGTTAAGACCAAATAGATGTACTGATGTGATGGTATTTTTGTATTTTAGCATCATCGTTGTTATTTGTGACACCATACTCTTTGTGTGTTTATCAATTTGCTGATGATAGGCCAACTTTGCAGGAAGATGGAAAGAAGACTCCGGAATTAAAATCAGGATTTTTTTTTGAGCATGATAAGAGTGTAAAATAAAATCATGCTTTTAAAATTTGAATCAACTTATATTTATTACTGTTACTACTACTTATATTTACTATTGTTACTTCGTAGTTCTTATTGTCTCTATTAACCATTTCTACTTCTAAATGCAGGTTGGAGCTGTCATTGTTGGAATTGACCAATACATAAATTACTACAAGCTACAGTAGAGTCTACACCTTTTTAATCTCCCTTCATTTCTTTATAATTTTGTTCAATGTCTGTGCATTTCTCTTTTTGCTTGATTTACAGCTCACTGTTTTTGCTATTACTTAGAGATGAAAACAAAAATGCAATGATAAATCCATGGAGGGAATACCATACGTTTTTTCTAGCCAATTAAACCTTACTAATTCATGTGATTATAATTTAAACTATTGATTTTGAAGCGATATCTATGATGGATTTACTGTACCTTAGTCTTTGCATATTTTGAGCAGTGGTTTTAGCTTTTCTCTGCCTTTTGAGTTTTAAGGTCTGAATGTTATTACAGGTATGGAACACTTTGTGTGCGTGAGAATCCCGGATGCCTATTTATTGCTACCAATCGTGATGCGGTTGGGCACTTCACGGATCTACAAGAGTGGCCAGGTGATTTAATAGATATCAGCATTTTAAACAATAATTGCACAGCCTCCTAGAATTCATAAATCATGATATTCAATTATGGCTTTAGGTGCTGGATGCATGGTTGCTGCAATGTGTGGATCAACTCAAAAAGAGCCCATTGTAGTTGGGAAACCATCAACCTTCATGATGGACTTTTTACTAGAGAAGTAATAATAAATATCACACAACAGCTCAATGAGATCAAAAACAGATATACAACTCTTTTTACCTACTACACTTTGCTTTTCTGAATGGATATGCCTTCTATGTTGATGTTGCATTCATCCTCGCTTTGCAGGTTCAATATCAGTACCTCAAGAATGTGCATGGTGGGTGACAGATTGGACACAGATATCTTATTTGGACAGAATTCTGGTTGCCAAACTCTCCTTGTTCTTTCAGGTTTGAGACTTGCCCTGCTGTTCTTCCTAATAAGGAGGCCATCTATCAATTGCCTTGATATATCCGTATCACTGATTATTGCAGGTGTCACAAATATGTCAACACTTTTAGACCCTGCAAACAACATCAAACCAGATTATTACACTGAAAAAGTGTCCGATATTCTAAACATGCTGGAATGATCAATTTTATAGCAATCATATTGTACAAGATTCATCACCATCTGATACTCTAATCATTTGGAAGCGTTTAATCAGGTTTGCAACTTACCCTTTCTTTTCTTTGTAAGAAGGGTTTTATTTATCAAGCATTCTTTTGAAAAGTGTGTTAGATTACCTCTAGATAATATACTTTATCAGCACTATCAAGATAACTCTTTATTTCTCCTATCCCCAGTAAGGCCTTCCCCCTACTTGGTCTGCTTCGGAAAAACCTTCGGCTCAAGAAAACATAATGCATAAGAACAGTTCTATATGAAATAGAATGAACACCCTTATGTATCTGCATTGCTGCTAATTAATGCAGGCGTGACAAATATAGCAACATTTTTTGACCTTGGAAAGAACAATCATTTTTCTAGTCATCATAGGGTATGAGATTTGTCAGTCTTTTCTACTATTGCTGTGTTAGAGTCGGTATTTGCTGCCCTGATCCAGGGTTAGCTGCAAAACGAAACAAAGAACATGAAGTGGCAGACTCCTCTTTGTCGCCCGTGGCTACAAAGAAGAGTTTGCAGTTCCCTGGAGTTTGTGACTTTAGAGGATTAACAATGGCTCTAAGATTTATTATTAAAAGGAGTCCAAATATAGATAGGCAGGAAATCGTAATACAACTTGGCTACCTAATTTGGAATTATAGTAAGGAAGCAATAATCCTAATACAACTTGGCTACCTAATTTGGAATTATAGTAAGGAAGCAATAATCCTAATTACTCCAATAAACTCTATTTAATCCGTAACACGATGGTTGATTACTCATTAGAATAATCACACAGTAAACCACACGACATGCACTGTTCATCCTCTCCGAGTGAGGGTCAGTCCATGATGTCCATAGTCAGACACATGTCTCTGGGCCGAGCACTTCCTCAGTTGGCCTAGGTTAAATTATTTGGTCTCAATATTATTTAGGTGTACTTTCATGGAACGAATATATTACGTAGTAATAGATACTCCATAGTTATTACTCTTTCTGTCATACAGAGTAATATAAATTGTGTGTTTGACTTTTGTAAGTCAAAGTTTTCAAAATCTGACCAAATTTTTAGTTTGAAAAGAAAAGTGTCGAAAGATGAAGTGTAAGGTAAGAATATGTTTAAAAGACAAGATATGTGAGCCACGCATTCTTTTCTTTAAATACGAAAGGAAGTGTGAAGTTTTTTTTTAAAAAAAACTAATGATAAAGGATAATGCGAATTGTATTTGGGGCCAAAGGAATATTTAGTTGTAATGTAAACTAAGTATCATTATATTAATCTTGAAATATTGAATTGGGTCAAAATATAACAGTCAAAGTATTACATTGAAAACTGCGATCAAACAAACACTCTAATTTAGAATAGCAATCTATTAATAATTTTGTCCATTCAATATTTGACTTACCTCTTATTAAACCAATATTTGATGCATGAAAAAAGTCACTTGTCCATTCAATCTGACTAGCCACAATATGTTTAGAATTGCAGAAGCATATATGGAAACATTACAAGAAGTATTGAAATGGATAAGAGATTGCTTTATTCATATTAATTAGCACAATAGCGCGCATAAAGAAAAAATAACAATGATCTATTGATCGACCTGTGCAATAACCATTGTGCAATAATACATTGGATTTTATTTGAAAAAGTTTGAGAAAGAGTTAGGTGTCTTTTCATAGAATGGCTCCTCCCTTGGGTCGATGAGGTGTACTTGATTTCGGTCGAAGTACCAGTCCAGTAATGCGCTCTCAAATGACTGCCAAATCATAAATTCAAACCATTCATAAGTATTTGTTTTCTTCATACTTCTAAATACTTAGCTTCTTTCCAATTCTTCTAATATATACTTGTAATATAAATTTAATGCTCTTAGCTAGCCTGCAGGATAATTGGCCTATTTGAAGACTATACGGTGTTCTGTTCGACTTCAAAATGGTTTTGCCCCCCCCCCCCTATTCCGTCCCTACTATCAAATATTTGACCGTGAGATATCCGAATAAGGGGAGGGATTCAGGGGGCGAAACCGCTTCAAGATCAAACAGAGCACCATATACGACCTCAAATATAGTGGATTGGTGTCATAACTTAACATCGGTTTTTTGGTCGCCATAGTTGTATACCTTTGAGTTAGGGTCAGGAAACATGGGAATTTTGTAGCCGATCCCCGAGCCAATGCTATGACTGTAGCGCGAAGTAATCAAATATCCGTTTGTCGCACTTGGTACAGGCAATGCGTCTATTGTTTCTTGTCTGAAACCTGGGATATATACACACATACATACACTCAGTTCACGTTATAGGCAGGCACACGGCTCAAATGCACCCATACTTTTGTGTTAAAGCTTCACTAGCTTAGTTAAAACTTAAAAGTCATTTTTTAAAACTAAATTCTTGTCAATGTAGTAGATAGCACACCTTTAAGCAATTCCATATCAGCTGGACTAACCATATGGTCCTTAACTTGCGCGTATAACTCCTCCGAGAAAATGTGTCTCACCTTTTAAATATATTAATCGAAGTTCAAAAATGTAATCAATCAAAAAAGTGTTAAAAAGAAAAAAAAAGAAACTATAAACATGAACAAAGTGCATGTATGTAATATGTTTGAGCCTACCTGAAATGAATCTTGTGCCGAATTCAAAATGAAAAGGGGAGTTTTCACATATTTCGCCAAATTTTGGGGGTAAAAGCACTGCACATAATTCATTGGCATTACAACAATATTATATAGTAAAATTTGCACAGAATAAGACTAAAACATAAATCATTTCTTAATGTATATATATGTATGTATGTATGCATGCATGTATGTATAAATACTTTATAATATAGTTTGAAACTTACTGATAATGCACCCATTTTTGAGATGCACTCCGCAGGTAATGCCTTCTCAGGTTTCTGCATGCATGCAATTACCCCATGAACATTCACTTAAAGGGACATATACAATCTGTTTTTTAAAACTGATTATTATGTTCACTTTTTCATTGTTTCAAAATAAATTTGTAACTCTCTCTTTTTCCCTGAATATATGATTTAAAAAACTTATCTCTTCTTATAAATTAATTTCACTACTCACTTATTCCTTTTTAATGTTTTTATAATATTGTTCTTAATTCTTATGAATCTCAAAGTGAAAAAAAATTAATTTGGAAGGTAGAGAATATAACAATGCAAAATTTAAAAAATTCAATAACACAAAGTAGAAAGAATGATGAGCTAGGAGCATTACATGTAGGCCAACAATGTTACCAAAAAGACCTTCAAAGAATTTTGCTCTCTCGGGATCCTTCCTGTTAATTAGATAATTAAATGCATAAATAATTTGATAATTAAATAAAAAATCTCTCCCTATTAAAACTTCAAATGCATGTAAAAATTGAGTTGCATGCGATATATATATATATATTAAAAAACGTACACATGTAGGAAGATAGAACTGTCAATGTGACATTTTACTCTAACGTTCTGAGGAAAAAGGTCTCGAAAACGATCACAATGTGCCATGACACCAATCCCACCGGCAGAACCTCCGGCAAGAAGTACCTATCATCAATTATATATATATACAAAATGTGACACACATTAATCTTTCTTTCTTTCTTTTAATGTGTGCATATTTGTACCATTAAAGGGAAGGTAATAAATGAGTAATTGTTTTGTACATTTTGGGCGTCTTTCAATCCCTTTTCCATCAAATCCCTTACTAGTACGCCAAAAATCCTTGCTCCTCGATAGTAAAGTTTAGTAACCTATTTTTTTTTAAAAAAAGAATAAAATTATTACGTTAATTCAACGTTTCATATGATTTCAAATGTCCTACTTAGGTCAGGGTACGTACCGGATCGGGCTGATCGGCATCTCCGACAAACGAAGCACCGTCACAGTACTTGAGAATGACTCGATTCCAGTTGTAGAAATAGCTCATGCTTGACTCGTTGCCATAAACACTATGGTTGAATTCAAAAGGCTTCATTGCGATTGATGAACCCAAGTCACCAGCTGCACGGTGCTCACAGCTTTGAAGGCTAAAATCAGGAGTATCATAATTGGTGTTGTTTATGCACCACCCTCCACCCTAAATCACATGTATATAATACAATATAATCAATCACAAAATAAGAACTCATGCATTACTAGTGGTCTACAAATGAGTTCAATCAATTACCTAGTTCAACTCATCAAAAACGGAAAATTGGGTCATTTTGAATATAACCAATAAACCACTTGCAAATGGACTCTCCTTCCCAGAAAATAATTAAAAGGATCAAATGTGTCAACACGTAAAGGACCACGAATTGTTGGGTATAAACTTCTAGACGAACAATCAGATTATACGGGACACAAACCTTTTTTTAATACGGACAACTGGCCAAAGACTAATGAGTCGCTAAGAATGAACTTCTAAACGGACACTTTAACAAATGAGAGGGATTAAAACTGACTCTGATGTCATGATATAATTTATGATGAGATATGAATCACTCGTGACTCATAAGACACTTAGGTTGATATTAAAAGATTAAATCCAATCGGCTACTTTATTCAACTCAAGAATTTATATACCGATTATTTTTCTTTTAAATCTCCGATGTGCGAGATTTTAACAACCTTTATTTTGTATAGTTAAAAAATGTACTACTTGGTAGTGTATATGTAATTTAAAAATGAACTCACTTGAACGTAAACCAACCAATTGTTAGCTCCATCGCCACTCCCACGATCCAAAACATATGCCGGCGGACTCCCATCCAGACATACTACGCATGCACAACAATAATGTTAAAAACAAAACAAAAGTTATTTCTTTGTTTAAACATTTTTTTTTTTTGCATCTTAAGAATCTCATATCATACTAATGAATTTAAATTGACATTAATATTCAAGACAACTCCCTTATTACATACTCCAATGATTGATTCATTTTTTTATTATTTTTTGAAAAATCTAGTGTCCATAAAAATAATTGAGATCTATGAAAAATATTAAATGCAATTGTTGAAAATTTTGGAAGAGACTTATTTTGAGAAAGAGAGTAAATATAAATGGCTGATCTTTAAATGAGAAAAAATAAAATAAAAAAAAGGTTCGGTACGAAAAATATATTTTATACGCTATTCTGTACTTTGACTTTACATTATCAATAATGTAAAACTTTGATCATTAAAATGTATTTGTATACTTTAAATAAAAATAAATTATAAAAGTGCCAAACATTCAGAACCGTAATTCTTTAAAAATATTGTACCAATAAAATTTAGAGCCTTGTGTGGGTTGTTCAATGATAGGTTAATTAATTTATTCCAAATGATTGATTAATTTTCTTAGAACGTTAATTAATTGATTAATCACCGGCTCCTTTCTCAACGCCGCTCTGGACAATGGTATTATAAATAAGCTGGGCTTCTGATCCGTTGGATTGGACCCATATTGCCAAGCAACACATTAGCAGACATATTCTCTGGCGTGAGCCCATTGCTGAGTAAGTCATTCTGCACCAATACAAAATAGAAAATGTAAACAAGAGAAAAAAAATGTGACAATTATATATAATAATCTCAAACAACGAAACTTAGAAGCTATACTAAGAGGTAATAGAAAAAAAAAACTCCATTTGTCCAACTATTTTTGGCATATGAGAATGTGTGATCGACACTGATCATGTCGGGATAGAGAAGAGTTCGAGTGTCTTCACGCTCAAGAACAAGAGAGACCAATGAAGAAGGAGAACTTGAGAGAGAAGTCGAGATAACTATATTGGTTCGACTTTCTTTTTACGGAGTATGATTTAAGGAACCATATAAAAACAACAAAAAAACTTATAGTTACTCTCGATATTTTAGCTAAAAAAACACATTCTAATATTTAAATTGAATTACCGAATTGACTAAAAATAAGATAAAGTAAGAATGAATATAAATCGCACAAATACAAGTAGATATGATATTATTAGGAAATATAATAATGGAACAAAATAAAGTAAAAGAGACAAAAAAAAGTGAGAGCAAAGAAGTAAAATTTATTGTAAGTTTACTGATGGTCAAAGTGTGAAATCGAAGACCGTGAAAAATAAAATGGAAAGATTCAAAAGGGACGGAGGGCATATTGATTTTTTGTCTTAAAAGGAAAATAGATACTCCCTTAGCTTGATAGTTCATTAAATAATATGTTCAAAAAAAGAAGATTGAGAAACTATATGAACGTATCACAAATGTCTTTATAAAAAATAAAAAAAATGTTGGACATAAAAAATTAAGAGCATAAGAATAAAATTTCAGAGGTAATAAATACAGAGAATATGATCTAAAATAATAATGTCGTTAATTAATTAAATACCTATGATGATAACTTTGAAGAAGGTTAATTGGGAGATGATGTCTCCTCAATCTCAAATGATTGATACCTACAAGATTTTGATGCTTGTTGTGTTCACTATATAAAGGGAAACAGGCCTCCGAGAATTTGGGATTAGTCCCCCAAATACGCAACAAATGGTCGGTGAAGCATTGGTCAACACCCTATGATGTTTCTTAACCATTAATTTTTTTTTTCTCGTATAAAAAAACATTAATGACAATGCACAATTATGACAACAATATTTAACCACTTTTATCTAGTTCCTCGTTCCAAATTAAATTACTCCGTATTTATTGCGGTTTATAATGTCTGGCGGCTTATTTTATTTTATATTCAATTAATTTATGGAAATTAATATGGAATTAGAATATAAACATTGAAATGCAACATACAAATTTTTACGAGAGAAGTGGGACATGATGATGAGTAACAAAATAAAGTAAAAAATTATTTCTATGTCAGAAAATATTTTTCTCATACAATATTCACACGATCAAATTTTGTGCTCACTTTGTATGTTTAATTTTACTATTCATTTTATAATTAAAGCAGTCATGTAACATTGTGTTTTGTACAAATTTTTATGTAGTTTTAAATTATGTTTGACCCCATAATCAAGTTTCGTAAATTTTATTATTGAATTTTGCACATATAATCAAATAAATCAAATTGAAAATATTTTTATCAAACATCGTAACACGGAATTAAAAGAGCATTTTTAGATGGATTGAGTAATAAATGTGATCCCGTGAAAAACAGACATATAATGTTATCAACAACGATGACAACAATAACTAGACAACAACACTAGGAGGAACAACAACAATAATAATATCGTAGTAATAATAACAATAAAAACAATATAAATGAGTCATTTTAAGCACATTTTTGCCCATAAAGGCTTTTATTTAAATCAGGGTTGCCACTTTTCAACATATTTAAATATTTCTTTATTAAAAAGATTTGTTCGAAACGAGTAACATAGTTAAAATTGCGTCATATTTAGCAGAACAAGTAAAAAATTTCAAAATAGATATGACCTACATTTAATGATTTTGAACTATAATCAATAACACTGGTGTAATACAAACCATAATTTTTCATCGATTTTGTGTGAAAAATAATCTGTTGGTGTCGATCAATCTTAATGGCATACTTGGTGTGAAAAATAATCCGTTGGTGAGAAATAATATGAATGTAATATGGAGTACAAAATTGTACTATCTCCTTCCAATTTTTAACGTTCCCTTGTCTCAATGTTCGTCCCAAAACAATTTTTCATGTTCATTTAAATTAAAAAAATGTCTAACACTAAAATAAGAAGATAATGAAGAAGTATGAAGCCATTTTGGTCAAATATTCTTTCTCTGTCCCGAAATATTTGTCCATTTTGATTTTTTTGGTGAAAATGGGAAAGCTTTTACCACAAATTAAGTGATATTGATATTAAATACTGACACAACATAATTTTATTAGATTCATTTCATAAAATATTTTCAAAATGTTATTTTATCCAATTAATATAATTTATTTAATTACATGTCAAATGTTAAAAATAATTGACTGCAAAAATTCAAAACTGGACGCATACTCACGGACGGAGAGATAGTATGATTTTGCACAAAATATTTTCATTGAACTGATAATGTCTCATACTATTACTTAGGGTTTGAAACACATCCAACGAAAATAATCATTTTGGCTCTGGATTGTGACAGCATGAACAGGCTTTTGATTGTCACCAAGGGTGGCTCTCTCGCTTGAAGAAGACTCAGTCGTCATCTGTTCCTCCATTGCCACTTCTTTGCCATCACATATGATCTTTATATCACAAAACTCTGGTGCATTTTTCACTATCTCCTTAGCTGTGCTCTTCCCTTTTTTCCACTTCATTTTCCTAGATTTGGAAGAAGTTGCAAAAAGTCAACAATGCCGAAACACAAATTCGTTAAGGAATCAGCTCAACCAACCAAATTCTCAAACTTGCAGTTGGAGTGTCACGAAAGGTTTTATTTATACTCTAAGATTACACATAACACACCCTCGCGCGGAGACCAAAGTTTTATGTTGGCAAGCCATCTTAACGAAAAAACTCAAGTTTGTGGTTGGAGGCACATAAAAGGTTTTATACCCTAAAAGAGAAAGGAGATGAAAGCACATTTTACCTCAGATTTGCTTTGGGAGTGCCCAAAACCAGTTTTCTGATGTTACATATATGAATGAGGTCCAGTATTGCGTTTGCCTCTGTATCACTCTCTATAAGTATGGTATCTGCTTTCACCTTTGTTGAAAAAAGTTGCAAAATAACATCAGAATGTCATTCTCAAAAACATCTTAACTTGAGAGTAATTTGCCCTCTCTTAGGCACTGACTTTTTTTTGAGTTTTAACACAAACATAAAAGACAAGTTTGTTATATACTCAAGAATCGGGAAAAGTTCGTGTCGGGTGGAGGGTTTGTTAAGAATGTATACCTTTGAAGCGGAGCAGACATCGAGAAACTTTTGAAGGAACTGCATCCTCTGGTTTCTTTCATGAGTTTTGTGGTTATCTTTCTGTTCTTGATTCACTTTGCTTATTGGAATCATCCCCACTGTAGTAGTAGTCATCACAAGACAAATAAATTTCAGTTGCCTTTGATGATGAACTCATATATATGTCTTGAACCCAAAAAAATAAATAAAAAATAAGTACTAAGTATCATCTAAGTTGTACGGAGACGGGGATGACACGCTAGAACGGGGAATGATAAATTGTCTAACGAGTTAGGCAGAGGTGCGACATGCATTAACTCCGGTAAATGAGAAAGACAATCGGAAAATGATGGAGGAGACAAATAGGCTAAACTCCACGTTCTTCAACTTTATCAGTTGTGCACGATTGGTCTTTCAAATTTTAAAAGTCATAAATAGTCCATAAATTTTATAAGTTATGCACGATTGGTCCTTCAAATCTTTGAAGTCCATAACTAATCTTTCAAGTACATGTCAGCTCTTCAGATGAGGTCTTTTTGATGATAAACGTTAAAAGTCTAATGGAGTACTAGCGCCATATAATACGGAGTAGTCGTACCTAGTGGAATTTACTCGTATTATATAGAACTAGTATTTCATTTGGCTTTTAATGTTTACTGTAAAAAAGATCTCATCTGGAGGGCTGATGTGTACTTGAAGGACGACTTATGAACTTTTGAAACATGAAGGATCTATCGTACAAAACTTATAACGTTGAAGGACTATTCATGGTTTTTTAAAACTCGAAGGACTAATCGTGCATAATTGATGAAGTTGAAAGACCAATGGTGAAGTTTAGTCGAGACAAATACTTACCCGCTAAAAATGGAATTTAGGAGTAAGTAACAAATACTTACCTCCTCAAAAGAAAGTCTTAGGTATGAAATAGAGACCAATAGGACCCCTACAACTTTTACTTTTACTTTAACGGAGACGGAGTATTTTAATTTTGATTTATTTGTAACTGTTGTTCAAACTTGTAAACATAACGAGCCGTGAATTGGCCGGCAACCTGCACGGGCTAGTAATCCCCAACCTACATGGGTCATGATGGTTCCTGCACCATGATTTGATTTTAGGATTATGCTATATGTACCCCAAAGTTTGTACCCCAATTTGTACCCCGCAGTTTTGCACCAACATTTTGTGTTGGTGTAAAACTAATTTTTGTTAAACGCACCAACATTTGTGTCCGTGTGAATATTTATTAACACACCAACACTTGTGTCGGTGTAAACCATCGAAATGTTTGTGCAAGCCTGTGGTGTACAAATGGGATATATTTTTTGGTGTAAGTGTAGCATGGTCCTTGATTTTATTAGTGTGTTATACAATGGAAAAAGTTTGTATTTCAATTTATTTATTTTTTAATTTATAGATAAAAGTTTTATAAAAGTTTAATTAAGTCCAAATTTATTAATTATTTTTGTATTTTAAATACTATAAAAAGAGTAAAATTTAGGGGTGGACACGGTACCGGTACAGTACCGGTACCGGAAACGGTACCGCCGGTTCCGGTACCGTTACCGTCGGCCGGTACGGTCCACCGGTTCCGGGAACCGGTACCGGTACCGCCCAATCCGGTACCGGTACTGGTGCCCATTTTTCGGTACCGGCACCGGCGGTTCCGGTACCGTTACCGTTTTTTATTTTTTTTATTTTTTTATTTGATTCTTTCCTTTATCAATTTCATTTTTAGATTTTTTTATTTCATCATTTCCTTTAACAATTACACATTTACAATTTTACATTTTAAAAATATAATAAAAAAGCAAAAAAAAAAACAAAATTAGGGATGGCCGAAACGGTACCGGAACCGGCGGTACCGGAACCGGCGGTTCCGGAACCGGAACCGTCCCGGAACCGTACCGTGTCCACCCCTAAAGTAAATACTCTGGAGTAATTTTAATAGGGTCCACATTCATTGAGCTATATCATGGTGTCATATATCTTTCCTTGATCTTTAGAAATTTCTTTGATTGAATTTCAAAAGCAATTCTTTGATTTTTCCTTTATCCACACAAGTTACATGCTTTATAGTTTGTTCTTTTCAACTTATTCGTTTTACTTATTATTTTTATTGAAATCAGATAAAAATCAGATATTCTTCTATGATAACATATACTCCCCATGTGACCATGTCCCGCAAAGTCTTTTTAGTTTTTACTTTTATGAAATTTAAAAAAGAGATATTTTGTGTTGACTTTCCCAAATTACTCTTGATGTAATATGTAAAAGTAGGATGTGATAAGTACTCCCTCCGTCCTAAAACTTTCTTCCCGTTGCGCAAAACGAACAAAAATCCCAAGTTTTTTCAATCTATTTTATTTAAATATTGGTATAGAAATAAAAAAATAAAACATACTACCTCCGTCCCAAATTATAATGCATGTTCACTATTCACAGGGTCAAACTTCATTCACTTTCTTTCTCTATTTTCGTTAGCAATTTGATAAAATAAAATACTATTGTCACTACTACTTTTGTAGATCTTTTGATGTAGTTTTTTAATATGTAATTTTTATTTTCTAATTCTATACCATTTGTCATATAAAATGGTTTGAAAATAATTTCAGTCAAACATCGTAAACTGAAACAGGCGTTATAAAATGGGACGGGGGGAGTACATATTTAAAAACTACATCAAAAGTTCAACAAAACAAGTGGTGACAAGAATATTTTATTTTATCATACAGGCCATAAAAAATACAAATAAATATAAATTCTCGTGAAGTTGGAATAGTGCTCTGGGAAGAAAGTTTTAGGACGGATGGAGTAGATTATTAGTGAATATATATGATGTGATAGGTATGGTAAAAATTAGTAAGAGTAAAAATAATTTTTTAAATAGAAAAGAGAAAGCGACTGTGGGACAAAAAGAAAAGAGAAATCGTTTGTGGGACGGAGGTACATTTGAATATTACTGTGGTTGATATTTAGTTACCTTTAATTTACAATAAATTTACGTATGTAAAGTCTATACATTTTAAGGAGTATTTAATTTAAGCCTCAAGGTATAGTATTACTCTACAAAAATAGTGTGACAAAGAGTGTGTTAAACATTTACTGAGTATTATTATGAGCCTGGTTCCATAGCCACTGGATTCCAGTGGCCACAGAAGCCACTGCCCCCTACGGAGCTCCGTTAATAAAATTGATCATTCCAACTCCCGGTAAATCCTTCGTCAAGTCCCGACCCAAACTAATCACACCACCTACATCAATTGCACCTCGTATAGTATTACTCTACAAAAATAGTGTGACAAAGAGTGTGTTAAACATTTATTATTATGAACCCAGTTCCATGGCCACTGGATTCCAGTGGCCACGGAAGCCACTGTCCCTACGGATTTCCGTTAATAAAATTGATCATTCCAACCCTCTTTAACCCCCGTAAATCCCCCGCCAAGTCTCGACCTAAACTGATCAATTGCACCTCGTAAGAAATGAAAAAATTGAAAACTCCTAATTTCTAAGACATGTTTGAAGAAGATTAAGAGCTTACGTGGAGAAGGGACGAACTTAATCTTTGGGAAAACATGAACCAGAATCACCACCATAGAAGAAGAAGAAGAAGAGGAGGAGAGCCGCCGCACCGGTTCCGCGGCATTGCCGAGGGCCCACATCAGCGCATCCATGCTGGCCTCCGCGTCAATTTTCGATCCGCTCCCCACGGCGACGTACACGGCGGAGACGGCATGACTACCGGAGTCGTCCTCGCCGTCAAAATCGTAGGAAAACAAGCTGCTCCCGCTGCTGTCTTCATCGCTCTCCTCTCTTGATGAATTTCTTCCGCTCATACACCTCACCGACGCGATCTCGAACAACAGATCGTCGCCGCCGCGGTCTCCGCCGGGCGAGGTCGGTTGAACTGCTTTTTCTATTTCGGTTACCATGGACGCTACGGCGGCGGCGGCGACTTGAGAGATTAAATTGCGAATCAATCAATTAAAAACGTCGATCCCAAAAAAGTTGTTACGGAGTACCCGCTCGATCGTTGATGACTTGGGGAAGAATTTAGTGGGGGGTTCAATGAGTGCCGTTTGAGGTTTGGGAGGAGTCTCTCACACGGAGTGGAGTATATAAAATGGACCAAAAATCAAAATACTGTATCACTTTAAAAAAAAGTATAAATTTTAAATTTTAATTATGTTTAATTTGTACTGCACATTGGTATAATCAAATAAAATTTAGAAAATTCTCAACAAGACAAATCTAATAAAATTATTTTCACACAAATATATATTACAATTTTTATTTGATTAAAATTCAAAATTCAGTAAATTTAACTCTTCCAATTTGCTTGTTTTTTCTTCTTCAAATTGCTACACAACATGATAAGAAGGAAGAGGAGGACACCATCACTAGCACTCGATAGTACAACAAAAATGACACAAAATTCACAAATTTATCATTTATAAATTTGAATTTCTATGTTTAAATTATTTAAAACAGTTGATCGAGTCCTTTTAATAAGCTTTATAAGTAGTATGTTTGTGATGTTTGTGTCACGTACTTTTGTTTTGTAGGGAGGCAAATGTTAAGAAACAACAATTTTACCAACGAAGCACTGTAGGTGTTTTGGATTATACTATAACCTTGATTTCTAAGGTCAAAAGAATTGCTAGGTTAATCATTTTAGAAAGTTGTGCGGGGGAGACAACATTGCGTCACAGTTTTAGAACGAATTGTTTACAATGAACGTAAAGCATACTTTATAGACTTAATGAATCATGTGATCCTTTTTCAAATTAGAGTTATATATCAAAATATTTTAATTAATCTGATAAGATATCACCAAGGTCGGCCTCGAAAAATGAAAAAATAAAATTGGCCCGGTCCAAAATTTACATTTTGTGCCCTATTTTATATTTTTAGAATACCTTTGCTTTAAAATTATTAACAAATTTAAAAATATAGTGCCCTAAATTTTAAGGGGCCCTGTGCGGTTGGCCATTTTGCACACCCTCCGTGCCACCCATGGATATCACTATCTAGACGAGAATAGAAATTCTATTTTCTAACATATCCTAAGACTCCATATATATAGAACAAAAACTTATTAGGCGTGTTTGTTGGCGAAACAGAAATTGCATTCAATGATTTTAGTATGGAATGTTGTGTCTAATCGCGTAACACTTGAATATTTGATCGTATACATTCAAATGAATGTTTGATACTAAAGATTTGAATGTTGCGCGTCTTTTCACAAATGATATTGGAGATAAATTATACATTCGAATGTACTCAATATTATTTTAAACATACAAATGTTGGTTGATTTTGGACTCGGTCATAAATCGTCGTCGCCCCTTAATTAGACCCTATTATAAAATATGTAACATTGTTGAACGAGCTATACTCAAATTTTCAAATGATCGATCTAAGTAAATTCAATTACATAGGATAGTCGATGATACTGAAATCATCAACATATTTTTGCTTTAACACCTCTCATCAACAATTACAATATAAAAAAAGTTAACACATAAAAGAAAAAATAAATATGTATTCCGTAATATTTTTAATATATTCACAGTAGGTGAAATAGTAGTTTAAGAGGAGACTTTCTGAAATTGTTTTTTTGAAAAAAAGATTGGATTGGACAAAAACTCAATTATGCGAACCCAAAAAAACTCGACCACGAGGCCGAAAGAGAATTAGTAGTTAGTAATTAGGGAGTAAGATTTAAGAACAGGACAATTATGTCCTACAACCTTCACATTTTTTTCGTCCATCATCATTGTTATCAACTCGGGTATAATAATTAATTAGAAATCATACTAAATAGGACTAAAACATAGAGAAAAGTACCAAAATAGGAATTTCATGTTTTTTCCCGGAATAGGACTTTGCATTGTGGTAATGTGGCAGTGTACATGTGCAAATTACTATTCTTTCTTGGTAATGTATATGATCATGTTTGGTAATGTAAGTCCTATTTCGGGAATAAAAACATGAAAGTCTTATTTTGGTATATGTTCAATGTTTTAGTCCTACTTTGGTCTTTCTTCCATAATTAATCTCAACTCAATTAAACTCAAATTAGCAAGGGGTGTAATGTACTAAAATTTAGAGTCTAAAATTGATAAGCAGGTTTTGATAACTTGCAACTAACTCAAACATAATGCCTAGATTAAACTTACTTTATGAAAATCCATTCGAAAATGCAATTTGGACAAAATTTTAATGATGTAGATTAACTTTAAAAACACTACCGTAGGGTCGGTTCAAGTGAGAATGGTCGTTACTGCGAGAATAGACCTTATCGTTAGAATGATGCATTTTTATGTCTTCACAATGCATTTTTACATTGTGGTAATGCATTTTTGCATTGGGAGTAAAGTTTAACTTATTTACCACAATGCCACCACGTTTTTTTCAGATTTTTTTAGCTTTTTTTTACTTTTTGAAGCCCTTAGATCTTATATCTAATGCAGGAGATGCATTCTTATTTCTTTTATTAGATTGCATTCTCACTTGATCCAAAATTCACTACCGTAAAATTACATTTTCAAACGTTAACCTCTAAAGCTGTGTGTTATGCATGCGTCAGGCATCACGGTGGTCCTGCGTGGCTTCGCCACATCGGTGGCCCTTTCACGCAAACACCGCCTCCCCCTCGTAATCACGGTCTGTGAGACCCGCTGTAGTCACGATTACGATCCACTGACCGTTGATTAGAAACCTTCTAACTCCCTTCCTCTTCTATTTAAACAACCAATTCTAACCATTTTAAAACACAACCACTCTTCATAATCTCAATTATTTTTATCATTTTTTTTACAAATTTTATATTTCTACTCACACCATGAATCCAAACAATCTCAATCTTCCGTATTTTTATAATCCCAATAATCCCCCCATCCAAACAATCCAAAAGCCAGGAATATGTTCGATAATTGTTATCGTTCAACTTCCGATGGATATGAGTATTGGACTCCATCCCCGAACTTCTTCTCTTGTGGCTCTCAGGGCTTGATGTTACCGAACTTCTTTTTGGAGACGCACCTCATTACATGCCGGAGACGCAATGATACGTCCTTGTATCAACCAAGGGAAGGATTAAAGCTCCTCCTTGCTTCAAAAGTTGCTGCCGAAGATGAAGGTAAAGAGAAACAAAAGGGGAGAGGGGAAACCCTACGTACAGCGTACGGCGGGAAGAAAAGAAGAGGGAAGGAGGATAGGGTTTTGGGAGTTTAATCTTGCTTCCTCTGTTTATATGTAGAGAACCCAAACCCTAATTACTAAATTATCTATCCTGACGGTTCAATAAAAGCGATGAGGTAAAGAACCGTAAAAAAACCCTCGAACGAGCTTATAATTCGCTCAACTAAAAAAATCTTCGTTACAATAATAATTAAATGATCATAGCATAAAATAAATAAAACATAATCACTGCATGTCGTAATCCTCTTGCCAACGCGGCGCGCCTCTGACCCGACCACTTCTCCTAGGCTCCGTTGATGTTGTTTCACCTCCCGGTTCCTCTCCTACGTCCTGCGCCTCCGTGGTCGTATCACGCAATTTCCGCATGACCAAGCTAGATACTCAGCCCGAGGCGGAGTCCGGGAGGAAGAAAATAGCTTCAAAGATAAAAGGCTCCACTTCCAAAATCACGGAGCCGGTGCCGACAAAAAGAACAAGTTTCGTTTGGTCGGATGGGGAGGAGAGTGCGTTGGTGGAAAGTTGGACCGATGTGTTGAAGGATCCAAATCAAGGTCAATAAATTTTTTTGGTCCAATTTTTTTAAAATTTTTTGACTAACACAATATTTTTTTAAAGTATGTAGCAAAAAACCAAAAGCTTGACACTTTTTGGGATTGCGTCCAAAAACAATTTCATCTGAAACTGGAGAGATAGAACTACCGTACGGTAGACATATTGACGAGTAAGTGGCGCGACTTGAAGAAAAAAGTCGACAAATTTGTCAAATACTTCACCTACGACACAAACAACATAAAAAGTGGGTGTGGGAACATGATATCATCAACGTTGCACATGAAGAGTACTAGTGCATCAAGGGCCACGCTTTTGGTAATATCAAGGCGTGGAAGATTTTGCGTCAGTGCATTGACTGGCAAAGAAACGGCATCCTTTCGACCGCCGAAGCGGTCAAAGACTTAATCGTCCAACGACCCTTTCAGCGAAAGTCAAGGGCCAGACGCCCACTACTGCGTCAACCTCAACGACAACAAAGAGGAAGATGAGGTCTATGTGCAAGATGTGTCAAGGCCGATGGGATGGGATCGGTCAAAGGCGAAGGAGAGAAGCAAGGAGAAAGTCGCTTCAAGTTCCAAAGACGGCGACGATTACAAGGAAGAGTTGCAGTCCTTATCCATCCAAATGACCGACTTTTCAGAGGTGAAAAAGGCTTCCATCGAAATAAAGAGAAATCGCCAAAATAAGAAAAAAATATGGGGTCAAACGTGATCGTTATCAACCCTAGATTTTTTATTTATATACTCGTGTATTTATATACTCCCTCCGTCCTAAAACGTTCTTCCCTTTTCTGTTTCCGAGGCTTGACCGATTTTATTTTCAATTCAATTTATTTGATTGTTGGTGTAAAATTAAAAAATAAAATTTATATATCTAAAAACTACATAAAAAATTCTACAAAACAAGATATAACAAGACTTTATTATTTAATCAAATAATTATCAAGATAAGTAAAGAAAGTAATTAAAATTTGACCGTGTAAATAGCAAGTGGGAAGAACATTTTTATACGGAGGAGTTTCATTCATTTATAATTTTATATACTCGTGTCCCCTAATAAAATTTTAAATTACTTCTTTCAAATGATTCGCAGTGCAAGCGGCATACTCAGTAATTTATACAGCTTTCCCCCACGAGATAAAGAGTCCATATACAGCGCAAACATGTATTTCAGACATATCATTGATTCTGAAGTATATACATATATGGGAGAAGAAGAGCAGTAAACATGTATCTTTACCACATCGGCTATACTTTCAGTTTCTACAGCTTGGGTCTGGTCATTTTCGCTTCGGGCCTGCAATATGCCAAAGACATCGAAGTTTATTGACATTTTGAATGAGTTACGTATGAAGCGAATCAAGATGCAGGTGATGAGTACATGGGGTACAACATTTCACGAAAAAAGGTTGGTGTCCCTTTGATAACTATTGCCTCTGTCCCAAAAAACCTTTCGTGTTTGACTTTTTACGGTCAAAGTGTGACACTCTTTGACCCCAAATTGTGAAAAATGAATTATAATGTAAATTCAATATAATTGGGTTTGTGTTAGGATATAGTTTTGATACATTAGCATGCCCATGAGAATGTTATAGGTATGTTTAAAAAATCAGCATGGTCGACAAACATTGTAAGATTGCCCAAACCAGGTGTTTTCATTATTTTCAGGGGAGCGAATGCCTTAAGCGGGCGTATGACCATTTTATATCATGTGAAAGAAAAAGATTGGAGTGAATACACTAAACAAATAGCAGAGGCAAGCGTGAAGAAACGAATGTGTGGTTGTACTGATGAGTAAAAAAAGCTTACATGAGCTCGACGACAAGGGCAGATGCTCCTCCTCCTCCATTACATATTCCAGCAACACCAAATCTTCCGTTCTTTGTCCTCAGTACCTTCGATAAATAATGTCAAAAGTATGTTATTCTGTGTGCCACTTTTTTGGTGTTTTGAGCTCCTATTTGAGTAATTTGACATGCATTGTGTAAATGCCGCGGCTTCTACAAATATAGGACTTCGCGCATATTGGCTAGTATAAACGTACAATATCCACATCCCCTTTTGTGCGAGTTAGAAGTGGGAAAGTCACAGTGACATGGCAAAGCATGCAAACACCAAAAAAGCACAGAAAAAAAAAGGAAAAGACAGAAAAGGACAAACATGGAAAACAATCACCAGAGGTACAATGGCCTCCCCACCCTTGAAGTGTACAAGTGGCTCACCACTGTAAACTTTGCCCCATCAGGCGGTCGCTCAAAGACAATCCGGAGCTGGCTAGAAATGGTAGGACAAAACAGCGGTGGCTGCTGAATCGAGGAGGAAGACTGTAGGTCCCAAATAATAACAGTAGTATAACCGACAGATTATTATGGACTGAAGGAGTACAAAATGTGTGGCACCACAATCATGTTCTTGTTTTCAAGCTCGGTGTCCTCCCCCACCCCCACCCCCACCCCGGGGATGATATGTTTGTGACATCATCCACCTTCATCATCACTACTACTACTATTACTACTCCCTTCATACTTTCCTGTTTTCTGTCTCAAAAAAATCAATCATCTCCTTTGAAGAAAGAAATTTTTGGCTCACAATATCTCCATCTCTTTCAAACAAATTCCAACCACAATTTTCACTTTTATCACTTTTTTTGAGGTGTGTTCCCAGTCAAACCAGACACAAAAATAGGAGCAGTCAGAAGGAGAGAGTAGTCGTTACTCCCTACGTCTTGTTTTTTCACGGAGTTTAAGAAAAAGTGAAAATATGTAGTTGGGATTTATGCAGAAAAGAGAAATTTTGTGAAATATTAATGCTTTCTTAAAAGGAATGAAAAATTTATTTTGAGACAACCCCAAAAAAGAAAGTGTGAATTTTATTTTAAGGCCGTGGGAGTATTTAATTACCCAGTTTTAGCGTGGGAAGTCTTGTGAGCCTCCGGTATATAAGGAGCTTTGCAGCTAAAAATAAGGATATCAAGAATAATTCGCAAAGAAATGTAGGGGGTAAGGGAATCCAAGGAAAATTCTGACAAATCGTGGTTAGTATGTTAGTATCAAGTAGCATGGGTGTATCCGTCTCTTAAGAAAATATAAATATGCTAAGTCAAATAATTTATCAATTGTCTCCTTATAGTCATGTGCAGGTTCAATTGTCTTTGATTTCCTGTCCCCAAAATGAAGTGATGTCTTCTTTTGGTTATTTTAAGCGATGAGGCCAAGAGAGATAGATTCAGGCAGATGATAAGACATACCAAAAACAAAACATGGGTAAATTTCAGGATGATTAATTAAATATGCATAGTAGTTAGAAACATTGAATCACAGATTTAAAAAAACACTGAATCACTAATACAATAATACATACCCCTAGCAAAGTCACCAAGATCCTAGCCCCACTGCAGCCCAATGGATGTCCCAAAGACACAGCTCCTCCATGCACATTCAGTTTGTCCTGGGATACAGAGCAAATAAAAGAAGGATCACAGCTTGAACAACAAACCACTTATGCTAGAAGAATTTTTTATTCAAAGATGATCAAGGGGAGAAAGACTTGATGGCACTCATAAGAGACTCACAAGATCAAGATTGAGTAGTCGTTGATTGGCAAGGGCTACAACCTGCAACGAATGATAATGAAGAAAATCTCTGTGAGAGAATATGAAAAGTTGTGAATAAATCTGTTTCTTGATTTAAGGTATTGCTGAATTACAGTTATCTTCCGTATATAGCAGGCAACTATGAACTAACTCGACGTCAAGACATTTGCAGCACCATTAGTCCATTACATCATGTATATCAGGATGATGTAATACTATTTTACAGTTTACGGCAAACAACTGAATTCCTCCTTCGCCTCAAGCTGGAGCATATAGGTCATATGCACCAAGCTTGTTACCAATTCTAGGACAAACCTTTGTAAGAATATCTACAAGCTAGTCCTCTGTGTCAACACGGCTTGTGGTAATGTGTCAGCTACGGAGTATGATTTATCTCAGAGAAAGTGGCAATCAACTTCAATATCTTTGGTTCTTTCATGGTATACTGGATTGAAATATTCTGAATTCGTGCCAGGTTATATCACAATTAGCATTACTAGTCCTTTTCTCTCATATTTTAATTCCTAGAGACTAAGATTTCACATGTTGCAAGAGATTGCATGGTAGTTTGCTTCAGTATTTAATCGTGCAACTATCATGCTTCTTAATTCCAAGGGATAAAACTCTTTACAATTAAGACACGGTATCCGCGGGTGGATCGTCTATCGATAGGGAAACCAGCCCAATCTGCACTACAATACCCCACAGCAATTTTATGATATTTTTCTTTATAGAAGTCCTGTCCTGGAGCTCTTTTAAGATATATCTTAGAACTTAAACCATAATGTGAGTGTGTCTGCATAATAAAAGTAGTTTAGATGTTGAACCTTACCGAAAATGCTTCGTTTATTTCATAATAATCGACATCAGAAGCCTTCAAACCAGAATTTTTAATTGCTTTTGGTATCGCAAGAGCTGGAGCATTTGGAAATAACTCAGGTGCCTGTTCCAGTTTGTATCTTGTCAAGCATAGTATAGTAGGGTCCATAAAGAGGAATTTACAAATGAAGATCATAAACAACCTGAGCAGCATCTGCATATCCTCTGATCTTGGCAATTACTCGCAACCCAAGTTCAATCACCTTTTCCCCACTCACTAGAACTAGTGCGGCAGCTCCATCACTATGATTAATGATTATAAAAGAGAATCAGCTAAAATAACTTAAAATGACTGCCTTTTCGCAATGAAACCCGCAGAATGTTAAGCCTCTCTAATGATAATGTACACAAAGTTAAAGCATAGATTGCCCTGAAAGAGTTTACAGAGCTCCAATATATGCTAAGAAAGGCATGAATGAACTAAATCAAAGGCAACTAAGACACTGAAGGTGATGACAAGAAATAGATTCATCCTCCACATATTGAGGATTGGTACACAACACAAAGGAGCGGTCATGTTAGTTCTGGCTACAAAGCACATGAACTTTAATGTAACAAAACTTCCTTCAGTTAAAATGATTCATACATGCTAAATCAATACGAATCAACAAAGCCAGATGATAGGGAAAAGCGAATTTGACAAATTTATGCAGAGGCAGAGATAGAACCTTATGATAGAAGCATTGCCTGCAGTCACAGTACCCCCTTCTTTAAAGCTGGGTTTAAGCTTTCTCAGTTTAGACGCATCGAACTGTCAAGAGGAGAGAGAAGAAGAAACATCGGTATGGAAGTAATAAAGTGTGAAAGTTCAATATATACTTTGAAAAAAGATTAGTTTTATATATTTGAAGTCTGAACTCATACATGCAATACAATTGACAACCGTCATTCCTTATGAATCAATCTAAAGGATACACACCAGATTTCTTTAAATAAAAAATCCCCATGATAATGTAGATCAACAGATGAATATGTGTTGCATACAAAAGCATGAATAAGGCAAAATATATAGATAAAATAGTTGATGAAGTAGATTTAAAAAAATCAGAAACTCCATGTTAAACTGAAGCTGTCAAGTGTCAAGAAAGAAAGTACTCCATATGATAACATCATCAGACATCAATTTATGTACCTGCCTTAAGCCATCATCTTTGTCAACAATTATGGATGGCTTCCCACTAACACCAGATATTTCCACCTGTATACTAAAATTCAAATTCTTTAAAAATCAAAACAAATACAATTGATGGGAAAATTTTAAAACGTAGTCTTAAGAAAACTTCCATAGTACATAACAAGCTTGGGATCTCACCGGAACTATTTCCCATGCAAATGCACCACTGCTTTGTGCAGCGATCCCTTGTTCAAAGCTTCGAATGGCATAAGAGTCCTACATAATAAACCCAAAAAAGCCAAGAATACTGCAAACCCATATTCTAGATAATATTATTGCTAAGGCAACTGGTCAACTTCATCCTATAATATGTTAACTTCTAAAGCATACTAATGCATATGTGATATGTTTAACAATCTGGGTTGAAAGTTAATAGTGACGGGTGTTTGAAACGAAATCCGGATTTGGGTAGAGCTGGTGGGATGTTTCTAAATGAGCGAGGAAGTTGGGTTTTAGGCTGCATAATGATTCATGACATTGCATCTAACAATGTTGTAGATCGATTGCTATATATGAAGAATTAAGAATGGCTAGAGAACTGGGGATTCACTCTCTTGGGAATTCAGATCTGCATTGGTTATGAACCTTATACATAAGGGGAAGCCAGGCACCAGCTAGTAGCCATTTTGGACCTACTGCATGTTGTCTTAACATTTGAAGGGTCATTGTGGTATAAATATCGGAAACAATTTGGTAAGTTCTGTACTAAGTAAATCAATGGGAAAACAACTGCCATAAGACCGTCCAATATGTATTTCATCTTATGTGGATAGGGAAAACATTTTAGAAGATTTGTCCAACTCGCTTTTCATTTATACTTTCGGTTTTTCATCATCGACTCAATGGGTTTCGACAAAATAAAGGTGCAAAATAAGAAACGCTACCTGCTCTTCCCTCGTGATATGATACTGATCAGCACAAAGTTCTCCACATAATCCCATCCCAAAATCATTGTAAACGTCCCATAGCCCATCCTTGATCATTCCATCAATAACAGATTCATGCCCAAACCTAGATCCTTTTCTGTTATAGAAAATAAATGAATTCAACATTCGTTTTCTTCTAAACTAAAACGAAAAGCCATATAGACCCTATCTCTTTTTTAATATAGTAGAAGTGTAGAACAAGTTTTCTGATACAGATCAAGTGCTCTAATTAAGATTAGAACCAGAGGCAGTGCTTTTCATTTGGAACAAGAAAAGCCCAGAATGAAAATCATTAATTTATAGAAAGAACTGCAATAAGTTAAAGAAATGTTAAGCTTTCGTCTGAATAGACAATGCAATCAAGTTCAAAATTAGAATTTGTTGCAGGTTATATGCTTCTAAGTACTATCTTGTGGAATAATTTTTGGGCTTAAGAAAAGTGGAATTTGCGCTTGTGGAAAATTATCGAGAAACTGGAGATGATAAAGAACCCAAAATTTGTAAACAAGGTGAAGTCCATTAGTTGAATCTCTGATACGACGGATACCCAGTAACCCATGTGCGGTACTTAAAACATCTTAGTATAGCATTTCATTTACTTAAGTGCAACGGTTTAGCCTTTTTCTCCTTTTTTCCCACCACAATATAGAGGAATAGAAACTACCACAGCGTAAAATGATTGATCGGGATACCAACCTGGACTGAACTAAATACTTTGGTGCATTAGACATGCTCTCCATACCACCAGCCACCACAACATCATTGACACCCGATGTAATACTAAGTGCAGCAATCATTGTCGCTAGCATAAATGAAATCATTATTAACTGGCAGTTTAGCACACTAGAGGTTTCCTGTATATAAAGATACACCAGTAAGTAAGTAGGTCCAAAGAGCCAACCTTTCAATCCCGACGAACACACTTTGTTAATGGTCGTGCAAACAACAGAATTAGGCATTCCAGCACCTAAGGCAGCCTGCCGAGCTGGGGCTTGACCTAAATTCGCACTGAGAACATTTCCAAAATATACTTCTTGAACCTGTGATGGATCAACACTTGCCCTCTTAAGAGCACCTATAACAACGTAGAAACTTGAACTAGTACATGTAAACAGAGTGAAGTAAAAAAAAGGCAAGGCATCGGGAAATCTTACTCTTAATAGCTATAGACCCGAGCTTTGTAGCAGATAAAGATGAGATTGAACCAAGCAAGCCACCCATGGGTGTTCGAGCAACACCGACAATGCACACATCTGGTCATTGACAATTACAACTGACGTGAAAAATTATAACTTTTCAATCATTTCATTCAAAAGCAGTTTTCTGGAAATTCCCATCTCTTCTTAGAATACTGCTTAAAAGCCAAGGCAGATCAACAACAACCCAATATGATCCCAACTTTATTGGTGCCTAGGAGTCAAGATATACGCAATCTTACCCTGTAAAATACACTCTTTCTCTTAGATAGTCCCATTTACTACCCAAAACTTCATTGAAGGCAAGAAGCAAATAAAGTTTGATATGGCAATTTTGAATTAGCCCATTTATTAACCTAAGCTACATGAAGGAGAAAGAAGCAACTATAGAATTAGTTGCTCTGATAGGAACCAACTAAAAAATGAGTAATTTTTTTCTATTTCTTGAACTATAGAATTAGTAGATGCACAACCTTTGAGAGAAACAGAATTAGTATAAGAACTTCAAAACAATTAAACTATAGTTCTTATCAGAGTTCTTATATTGAGAAATAGAATTAGTAATTTTTAACTATTTCTCAATATAAGAACTTCAAAACAATTAAACTATATAGAGAGAAGTGCAGATTGGACAGGAGCTTGAAATTGATGCTGTGAAGCGGTAAATTCAAAACCTCTGGACTTGATCGAATCGTCTGCTCTCGATGCCATTAATATGCCCTCAACTAATCTGAAGGAAGCGAACAATTATACAGCACGACCAAAAATCCAAGGACATATGAGCTAGGTGGTGCTCCGAGTATTATCTCCTCCCTCGCTCCTTCTAAATTCTCTCTTTTTATCTTAGGAGTTCACCAATTCGAACCTCTCGTTATTAATGAAATAAAATTTAAAAAAAATACCAAAAAATAATCATTATATCTTATTTATAATGATTATTATAAATAAAAAAACATTTATATCTTATCATTATATTTATTTAATAAAAAAACATTTTAAAACTATTTAATTGCATTTTTTATTCAAGATTATTTTATTAAAGTGTTTGTCAATAAAATATGTTGCTTGTGTGCTTTCTATCTTATCTTGCGTAACAGATAGCCATCCATGCCGCCAAGGCCAACTCCCTCTTTGCCGGTTTTAGCTTCATGATATTTCCACCTATTTCTTGAAAATCATCTCCCTCAGCCCTCGTTGGTCACGGCCACGTTGGTCACGGTTGGTTTCATCAGGCCACCACTCCGTGGGCCACCACTCCGAATTGGCTCTGATACCATTGATACAGCACAAGGGAGAGCCACACCCTAAAATCTAGCCGTTAAGGTGGGAGAACCCTTAGTTTTATAAACTCATCACCAAGTTCCTCATTTAACCGGTGTGGGACAATGAAATCAGTCCGTATCATCTTCATCTCTCTCGCATGCATAGCAAGCAGCATGCATCAATGTTCATGAACTTCTTCAGCCTCATTTGTGTTTGGATCCTTCCTTTCATGATCAGCCATATATAATATGAATCTATGCGCTTATGTATAGCCCTTTTGTTCCAGGCCCACTTACACCAATGAGGAGAAGTCTCTGCCCTCTAGACCCATCAACCAGTTATACCCCTTCTTCACCTCATAATCCCTATTACAGCTCATCATTCAAAAAAACTTAAAACCTACAGTAAGGAAGTGACCTAATAATCACTCAACTCCTCCACACTTATCTCTAGGAATTCTTAAATCATATTCCATATTAGACATAGCAATCAACATTTGCTTTGAAGATTTCCAAGACATGTATAGGCCTTGTTTGGGATCAGCGTTTTCGATTAGCGTTAGTGTTTTGGATAAAATTTTAACGGTGTAGATTAATTCAGAACGCTAACGCCAAAGGTTATTGTCGGATAACATTTTCAAAACGATAACCTCTAACGCTGATGCCAAACGGGATCATAGTTGCTCCCGCTAGCTAGCGTTAAGACAAATACACCCCTCGAGTCGTTCGTATCACAATGACTTGTAAGAAGCCTGGTTTTAAGCTGTGACATTAATTATATATGCCAAAGGTTCTCTCTATACAACACATTCTTTGCAGGGCAAAGACAACTGCCAAAGTACAGACCATTCCAACCAGGCATTACAAGTTTACAACAATCCATTGCTTTCAAGACACAGACCGCGGGAGAATGAACTTGGCATAATGGCATTGTTCAGTACAGAAAGAAAGATACCCACGAGACGAATGACGATACAGCTTATCAGAATAGCATAACTTTCCGGTTTTGGGCACTATTTTTGCAGGACAGAAAGGTTTTTTAACTTGATTTTCAACTCAATCTCCCCAGATTCCACATCGCGGAGCTTCAACCAAACATCTTGCACGACCTCGCCATTGCTAAAGACAATGGAGCTATCCACAGCAAGACAGTTGTCACTTTCAGGTATGACCTTCCTCAAGATTGACCCGTCCGAGGAAATCCCAACAATTTGACTCAGTCTTGCAGCTGCCATCAGCGGACGAAGGTCAAGATCGGCATAGCCCATCTCGTCATCAACCTTGAACCGGTCCTTATCAAACACTTTCTGTTTTATTGAAAGTTATTTAAGAGATAATGAAAATAAGGACACCAGCAGAGATCATGAAAAGGACGAGATGGTTGAGGACTAACCAGTTTCAGAACACCAGCAGGTTGGGATAAAGGGAAAGTGAACTCTTCATTCCAAACAGGATTCAGACAGCTATTTATAACCTTAGTCTTTGCAGCCTGACATTAGGTAAAAGTGAGTTTAGCACTAAACATTGCTTAATCATTAATGCTTTGTTGTGGGGATAAAATGGGAAGAAAAAGTAGAATGATAGTAAGGACATAAAGAGGGGATTTTGGGAGCATTTTAATGAAGCACATAACTACCTGATTCCCAAGCTCGAGAATAATGTAAGGATCACTGCTCCTGAAGTCCCGGACCACTAGCTTTCTCCCTTGCACAACCTTTATCTTCAGTTCTCCCAATGTATCTCCCATATATAACAAAACTGCATCTCACAAGACCAATGGGGTGTTTGGAAACAAGCTTATTGAGGTGCTTTTGACAGAAAAAAAAAAGCTCTTTGAGGTAAATGCAATGGGTGAGTATGGCCAAACAACTACTTCCACCGCCCCGATTTCATGGTTCAGTATTCATTTTTGGACCGTCGTACCATTGTATTTGCCCATTTAGAGTGACTATAGGAGTGATTTATTGACTCTTTTACCACCAATTAAACCCTACTTTAACTCCTCCAATAAAATTGTAAGGGTAATTTGTAACACCTCAACCATTATACCATTCTCCTTAGTCCATGTACCAAAAAGAATGTAAGCAAATACATTGAGACAGAAGTATTAGAAATGTTTGGTAAACATCTTTTTGAAAGAGATCTTTAGTCTCAAAAAGTTGAAAGATCTTTGGTGCCATTTTTTTGTCCCCGTTTTCTTTACATGAAAAACCCCAAATGATTACACAATCAAACTCATATTATCCAACTTTTTTCTTCTCTAAACATCAGACAAAACCTCAACTGCTCAAGAACAGTAGTAAAATGAAACAGGAAGAAGCGATCTAAAAAAGAAATAACAAATGAAACAAAGCAATAATGGAGGCAAAAAGCCTAGACTTTCATTAGAGGAGTTTACCACCAGCTAACCAGAGGGAGGAAGACAGTGAGTTTTGAGCTTACATGAAAACCCAGAATGGAATCCTCAAAAAGTTTGAAGCTTTGCTTCTTCTTGCACGTGGTGCTGGCTTTCAGATTGGAAATGGGAGATCTCAATACCCAGCCAGGGTGCTCTTTTTTCCTTGTGGGAGGGATCTTGTCAAACATCTGGTCAATATGTATATTCCCTATCTGTTGATTGGTCAAAAGTGGTTTCGAAGTTTCCTAGTTCTTTACCATTTGGCTTACTTGACCTGTGACTGTGCTAAGCTGTCAATTTGTTTTGATATAGTTTTATTAAAACTTGATTTGGTCTTTATTTGATTCTAATTAAATTTAAAATTAAGATATTTTTTAATTTGATTCTAGTTAAATTTAAATACATTTTTTATTTGATTTGTCTAAAGAAAGTTGGGAGTTGTTTTTAGATAAGAGATTTTTTTTAGAATAAACTTAGGAGTACACCAAAAAGGAGTATTTCATTTGTACACCAGGCAAACAAAGACAAATACAGATATGGGTGGAAAGGAATGAATAGGAAAATAACTTATGTGACAAAAGAGAATGGTTAGAGAAGGTAGGAGAAAATGAGAGGATGTGGTTGGGATGAGAATAAAATGCTCCTGGAGAGAGCAAATTTTTCATTGGGCAAAAAGTTATACATTAAATTTGATTGGTTGAAAATAAAAAATAATAATTTAAAATAAAAATAAAAGAAAGAGGAATGATTTGGTGGGATGAAGAAGATAAAATGAGAGAATGATGTAGCATAAAAGTTGGTGATGTGGAAAGGAATAAGGGATGAACCATTAGTGGTGCTCTTGAAGCCATGTTAGCAGTAAATAAAGACTAAAGTAAGAATAAAATATTGAAAATATATTAGAATATGAGTTCTATGTTTTTATTCTTCAAAATGAGATGTTTCAATATCCCTCGAATGTAGGAGATATCAATATAGGAATTTAATATCTCTCTCAACTATGGATCATTATCCGCCACCGGCTACGATTGTCACCGCCAACTACTCCCGTTGCCAGTCACCCTCGTTTATCATTAATTTAATCATGATTTTAAATCTCTACAAATAAATTCATTTTAGATTTTAAATCTCTCCAAATAAATTCGTTTTAGATTTCAAAACTCATCCCTAAATAGATAATAATTTTTTTCTCTTTCCTCTCAATAACTTTTGTTTGTTTACACGATTTCATTAAGTATTTGATAAAATAAAATATTCTTGTCACCTCTTGTTTTGTAGAACTTTTTGTTAGCCTTGGGTTGCTAAACCTCATGTTTTGATGTTAACAAACAATATAAGAGCTTAACGTTTGTTTAAGTGTTTCAGGTAAAACAAGAATCCATTAAGATTCGGTATTCAAGAACGAAGTCGAAACACTAAACTAGCATAGAATATAGGTAGAAACCGATGTAAGGATATGACTTTATATACCTATATTCACAAGCTCAAAAGCACTCACAAAATATGTTTAAAACCATCACATAAACATTTTCAAACATCTAAAAGGTTTTACACTCAAACACGAAGGATTAAGAGAATTTTGAAAAAAGCAGAACAGTGGCACGGTACCCCTAGCGGTACCCCAAACGGTAGGGTATACCGCCTACATGGTACCCCCATACCGTGTAACGGTACCTAGGTACCGGACGGTAGGCATAAACGGTTGGCCCAACCCGTCCTAACCAGGTACCGCCAGAGCCGAATGGATTTTTGGTGTTACACAATACCGAGGTACCGCCACTCACGGTACCCCTACCGTACGCACGGTACCATGCTACCGTGTGGACGGTACCGGCCTACCGTGACCGTTGGGTTACTATTCATGATTTGAGATTTTGAATTAAATCAACCCTAATCACCTCCTAACGGCTAATTAACATCTTCCACTATAAATATAAGCCTAATCCTTCATATTTCTTCAAGAAACAAAGCTCTAAACATCCTCTCTTTATATTCTAAGTGTGTTCATTCTTTTATTAATTATTTTAAATATTTTGGCTATTTTAAGAGCCCTAAATTCTTGATTTCTATACACACACTTTGAGCTTGTGTTTCTAGTTATATACTCTCATATTCATAAGTTTGTATTGTATTTTTGAGAGAGTATATATAATTTAGTTCTACACCGGCTAAGTCTTGTTCTTCATTTTTATATTCAAGCCGTTGTGTAGAACCATTGTTCGTGTTTTTCAAACACATCTTTATACAGTCGAGAATAGCCGTTAAATTCTCATATTGTATCGGTCGAGGATAGCCGTATAAATCCTTGGGTAAAGGTTCAAGGATAGCCTTTGAAATCCTTGGGGGAACGGTAGAAGATAGCCGTTAAATCTTCGTTGCAAACGGTTCGAGATAGCCGTGGTGAAATCTCGGAGTGAATCCTATTGGCAAGGGTTGTTTGCCAAACTAGTACGGTGCTTTGACGGAGTTCAAGAGATCGAGACTTAGTGGATTCGGAAATCCTTGAGATGGAGCCTCGAGGTACTGGAGTAGGGAGTTCCCGAACCAGTATAAATTCAGTGTGCATTTTGTTTACGCTTTTATTTTTGCGTTTTATATATTTCTTCCGCATTTGCCAACACCGTTTTTATTAAAATCCGAAAAGTTTTCAAACGCCTTATCCACCCCCCTCTAAGGCGTGGGCACAACGACTAAAACGGCTAACACTTTTGGCGTAGTTTTTTAATATGTAATTTTTATATCTTATTGATATACCAATTTGTAAATAAAATGATTTCAAAAACTAGAAATTTTTCTCCGTAACCCGCAATTTGTAATCAAATTGGGGAAGGAGGGAGTATATCTCTAAAACTCACGAAATGGACTTTAAGCTTGTGTTTGGATGGAGTGAAATTGGAAGGAAAGAAAAGATTGGGAAGGAAAACACAATTCCCAAAAATTTTTCCTTTGTTTGTTTGCAAGAGAAAATAGAGAGGGAAAGGAAAATGACTCCCATTCCAAACTAAAAAAAAAATTCTCCTTTCAGTAAGTGAGAAAATTGTTTAGATGGAGAGAAAATTATTGAAATGACACTTTTGCCCTCTATTGCATTCACTTTTTAAAAACATTGTTGATGTAATCAACCATTTAACATTTGTTTAGTTGATTAGTTACATAGTTTGTTAGTTAGTTAGGAATATATTTTTGATTGTTACTTGTTTTTCATTTTCTATATATAGGAGTTAATTATGTAATACAAATGTTGAGCTAGTTAATACACTTTATTCCAACAAACATAAATATATAATAAGGGTAAAATTGTCTTTTTATTTTAACATATTTTCTTTCCACTTCCATTTTCTCTCCATTTTCTACCTATCCAAACAACATTCATTTTCTTTCTATTTTCTCTCCATTTTATCTTCTCTCCCTTTTCTTTCCACCCAATTTCTGTCCTTCCATTTTCTCGCTTTATCCAAACAATACCTAAAAGAGTTAGAACATCACAAATGGGGAGGAAAGAAGGGGGAATAGGATGAATGGAATGGAAAAATGAGAGAAGATTGATTGGAGTGATGAGAATTGATTGGAGACAAGTGAGGAACAAATTATTTTTAGGACCATGTTACACACTCCCATCCTTGCTACCAACCTTGTCTTCACTCATTTCTCCACCACATATTTATCTTTACTCATTCTCCACTCAACCTCTAATTTTAATTTTCTTGCCTCCCTACCACATGTTTATGTAGGGGGCATGAGTGGTAGCAAGTGTGGGGTTTTTTAGCATTTTTCATTTTTTTTAACAAGAAAATTAAACGTAAGGTAAGGGAAAGGGTACGTGAGTACTGAGTATGTGACTGCGTGTGTGGGTGAGGGGTGGGGGAGCCCCTCCCCACTCCTCACTTCTGGTGGCACTGGTGCTCTTTGGTAGATCAAAAGCTTGGGTTTGAAAAGGAGGAACATAAATGGTAGTCAAACTATGGTGTAGAACCTCCCTGATCTCTTCCACAGCCTGTATAGCCCTTTCTTCCCATTCGAATCCTTCCTTCTTCAACCTTCCGACTCCTCAACTGCGCTCCAGAGCTCAAGGTCTGATTTTGGTGAATCACACCTGCGGTTTTCTCGGTTCAGGTAGGTTGGGTCAAGTTAGAACCGAGGGTTATTTGAATAGGCGGCGTTCATCCATGATGAGTTCACCCCCGTCGGCGGCTTCCTCGCCGGATAAACAGGCGGAGCAAGTGGACAGGCTTCTTTCCGGTAAGAATGACGATCATGGAGGCGTGATTGTTGAGCTGACCAATGAGCCCGTGGATCCTTCACTCTTCGCCACTCTGCTTAAGGCGTCAATTTCTCAATGGAGACAACAGGTAAAGATTCTCTCTGTCACCAATTCTTTTTTTCATATTTTGTTCTTCTGATCTTTGGATTTTTTTTAAAAAAAATTTGAAATCCGTTGTTCTTGATGAAAGATCTCTGGCACATTCAATTGCAATTTAGCCTTCTGCATTTAACCTCCATCATTTTCCTATTTAAGGAGAGAATGACCAAAATAAAAAATGTTCAATGCACTCCATTAGTATGATGACTTATATGAGGTGTCCAAAAACAAATCGGTGAAGGCTTGACCCAATGTGGAGAATATCATACTAGTGCGGATTGAAGAACTACGACAAATGTCTTGTGTCAAAAGTCTTCCCGATAATGAGAAAGAAGATTGACAGATCTAATTAATAGTTGCTGTAGAGAAAGCCACAAATTGTGTCTTAGTTTGAGGGAAGGTTTGTTGGGATGCAAACCATTCCCACACCGGTTGAGAAAGTAGACAATGACTAAAGTAAATAGGTTCAACCCAACTCTTTAGTATGAAACCTTTAGTGAGGTGCCAAAAAACGACTTGACACAAAGCGGATAATATCATACCAATGCAGGGCGTAGTCCCAACATATTTGAGCATGAGTTGATACTATTGCAGGGAAAGAGAGGTGTGTGGATTAAGTTGCCCATTGAGCTAGCTAACCTTGTTGAACCAGCAATAAAGGTAGCTTCATAGATATCATCAAGTTAGAAAAATCTTGCTATTTTTTTTGTTATAGCTTTAATGCTTTATTATGTTGTTCAGGAGGGATTCTATTATCACCATGCTGAACCTAAGTATTTGATGCTTGTATGTTGGCTTCCAGCAACTACAAACACTCTTCCAGCAAATGCAACCCACAGGGTTGGAATTGGTGCTTTTGTCATGAATGCAAAGAATGAGGTAATATTTTTTTAAAAAAAAAAAGAGAATGAGGTATTATATTAATATTAACGAACCATTTCCTTTTTCTTATTTTTATTTTTATGCAAGATTACAAGGTACTATGTTTTGTCTTCTATCCCTAAAATCTGCTGGAATATCGAGTGCTTTGTGGGGAGACACAACCACATATTTTACCTTCATATTGCATTCACTGCTTTGCCTTTTTTACCTTCGTATTGTATCTATTCTTTTATCATTCATTGGTTTTGTGTTTGCTCGAGTCTTTGTACTTTCTTATAAAAGTGAGAATTCATATAATCCTAGCTGAGATTTTCCAATGTCCATGTAGTTGAGGATCTCAGTATCTCACAAAATCCTAGATTTTTAGTCTTCCCATTCTTCGTATGGTCACCTGAGTTCTCTGGATGGCTGTGACAATTCCTCCACTCTCTCGGCTCAATCTTCCATAATTGGTTGTGAGGAAAAGCTCCCCTTGTTGCATTATTCAAAATTGTGCAATGCCTTTATGCAATTTTTACAACAAAACCGGCTCGAGGCTATGCACTTATATCTGATTAAATGCATGTATATTCTCTTCAGTCAAACAAACACACACTCCCTCTCTCTCAAACGTGAATGCTTCTTCACATATCACCTTTTTGCCAATGGTTTCCGTCTCTCTGTTTTTGTTTTCCGGTATCCCCTCTCCTGATTACTGGTGTTTTGATAGGTACTGGTTGTCCAAGAAAAGAGTGGGCGATTCCGTGGAACTGGAGTTTGGAAATTCCCGACAGGAGTTGTTGATGAGGTATGTTCGGTTCTTATGAGCTGTGCACTTGACAAAAGAGGGGTAACTATGGTGAAAAAAGAAATGTAGAGCCACAATCTGCTTATTTGGGAGTGAAATGCTCTCTTTCTTTATTCCCAGGGTGAAGATATATGTGATGCAGCTGTCAGAGAAGTAAAAGAGGAGACGGGGGTGAGTAACTAGTCTCTAAGTTCATGCTTCAAGTATTTTCATTAATCAAAAATGTCAAAATGCATCTGCCTTGTTTATGAACTTCGCCGTTTGTCTTTTTTTTTTGTTCAGATTGATGCAACCTTTGTGGAGATACTAGCTTTTAGGTATTTACCTTCACTTTATTACATTCTTAATCCCTGGCTGCTCGTAGCGCCGTCATAAGGTAGGTGTTGGGAAAACACTTCGAGAGATTATTATTTTTGAAATCGTTAAACAGAATGTTTTAAAAAATAACCCTAAAAAACCTCATGAACACTCTGGATTGACTATCCCCCATACAAAATAACAAACAAACACTCTTGAGAGTACATTACGCACAAGACACTTTGTAATTGCGGGAGCATAGGAACTCATCAATGAGCTCCCAATCTATAGTCCAAGGTGAAGCTTTCTCTCACCAACCTCTCACTTAATTTTGGAACTTAAAAATTGTCCACGTTCCAGACAAAGCCACAAGTCATTTTTTGAGAAGTCAGATCTATTCTTCGTGTGCATGCTGCAACCCTCATCCTTTGACATTCAAATTCAGGAACAAGAGATAGAAGCCGCCCAGGTATAATACTTTCCTGTTGTGTGGATTACGATATTTTATATTTTTTTGGCCCTGGGAATAGTGAACGTTAAATTCTTTTTTTGGATGGAGAGAATATATATATATATATATATATATATATATATATATATATATATATATATATATATATATATATATATATTTGCATATTTCGGGTCATCTCGCACTCACGCGTTCTGTAATGCAGTGGATGCCGTATGAAGAATATGTGTCTCAGCCATTTATCCAACAGCACGAGATGCTCAAGCAAATTGCGGCTGTATGTTCAGCAAAGATACTGGGTAAGTATTCTGGGTTCTCACCTGTGGAGACGGTGACCGGCTTTTCTGAGAAGAAAAGCTACTTGTACTTGAACAAGAACGCTAATGGTGATGAATCTTCATAAGAGTTTCCAGCTTGATTATCATTTTTTTCAAATGATTTTTTTTTTGGCACAAAGAATCATGCAAATACCATTAAGCTTTTGATATATATATAGACGTTATATGGGGGGGGGGGTCTGAGGTGGATAAGAATCATCAGTTTTGCAACGGGTGCCATCGAATGACAGTATCATTTGATCCTCTCTGTGATTATATATGCATTCATATTTATAGTTAAGACGTCGACAATTAATTCGTCGTTTGTTTCACTGTCACCCTCTCCTTGTGGGGATATCTTCTACTCTATTCTCTTCTCGTAGAGAGTGACAAATAGTGATTTTCACTTTCCAATCTTTCTTTATCGACAATCCTCAACAACATAACGCTTTTTCTCCCTGATTCTATCTAACAATCTCCATAAATTACTCTAAAGTCTAAACAGTAAGTCTTCTTATACTCCCTCCGTCCGCAAATAATATAGTCATATCACCTCTAGTTTTGTAGATCTTTTGATATAGTTTTTTAATATGTATTTTTTATTTTTAAATTTTAAACTATTTTTCATATAAAATGATTTGAAAATAACTCTAGTCAAACATCGTAACGCGCAACGAGAAATTTATTTGTAGACGGAGGGAGTATCTTTTTCCGAAGTGACCCAACAGCCACGCCCCTTCTCCTTTTTAGCCTTGCAATTATTAACCTCTCAATATTAACTTCGAATTATAGAGATAAAAAACATTTTTTGTTTTGGGAACACCAAGTTTTACCCCTACACTTTATCTATCGAACAATTTTTGGTGTGAATTAAAAAAATAGGAAGTTTATAAAAAATGTGGTTGGGGAGTGCTATGTGGAGTATCTCCGTAAAAATATGTACATTACTCGAAGTAAAAATATTCAATTCTTGCTCATACTTCCTCTGTCCCTAAAGATTGCCACAGTTTTTCTTTTTTGGTGAAACATTTTACTAAATTTATATTATAACTAAATATATTTTTTCTATAATTTATGGTCAAGGAGTGCCACAATTTAATCAAAGAAATCAAGCAATGACAATCCTTTATGGACGGAGGAAGTATTATTATTTTACCTCTAGACCTTTAGTCCCACTGCGTAATTAATGGACAAAAATACCCCTGATATATTAAAGATTTTTTTGAAGAGGAAATCTCATAAAAGGTCCTCTCTTATAAGTTTGTTTTACATATTTAGTCCCTGCATATCAAATATTACTAATTTAGTCCATAATTATTATATTCATTTCCATGACTAGTCCTTTGTTAACATTTCCGTTAAGAACGTGGATAAAATTGTAAATTCATACTCCTTTCTCTTCTTAATTAAGCTTCCTCCCTCCCCTCGCACTCCTTTCCCAAACTTGTCGCTGAGTTTGAGGTTTGGACCCAAAACCGAAATCGTCACTCTTCTCTCAATTGTTTGTTTAACTGGTGGAACCCAAATTCGAAACCAATAACCTTCATGGATGAGTTTTAATGCTTATTTTCTTTGCAATTTTTTGAGACTAACCGATAAAACTCATCCATAAAGTTTAATAGTTTTTATTTTAGATTCCACCAGGAAGACTAATAATTGAGAAAGGAATGCTAATTTCAGTTTTGGGTTTAGAGCTTCAAACTCAGCAACGAGTTTGGGAAAAAATACGAAAGGAGGGAAGAAGTTTAATTGAAGAGAGAGAAGTATAAATATACAATTTTATCCACGTTTTTGACGGAAATGTTAACAAAAAACCATTCGTAGAAATGAATATAATAATTGGGAACTAAATTAGTAATATTTAATATACATGGACTAAATATGTAAAACAACCTATAACTAGAGACCTTTTTATGGAATTTACTCTTCTTTGAAAGACTGAGGTGTAGTGGACGATTAATTCATGACTAGCCGACTAGGGTCAAAGTGGTGACTCGAAATGACGATATGGAAGGTGGCCAATATTCTGGTTGTTTATCTAATTTAATTAATTAATGGCATAACAACGAACCAAAGATAAACTGTTTGGGCACACGTTGCATGTTATTTAGCATAACAATTATGAATAATTTTTAAATAATGTTGATTAATATTTATAAATTGTAAAACTAATTACACTCTATTGGGTTCAAAGAATTTGAAAAGAAAAATTAAAAAAATGGTTTTCCTTTATTTTTCTCACTAGAATAGGCGGAATTTGGTTTTATCTCATCTTAGTACATTTTGTCTTCTCATTTTATTTAGTACGAACCTCTCACTTTTCTTTTCTTCTTTTTTATATAACCAAACAAAAAAAATATTGTGCATCTCATTTTCTTTTTACTTTTTCGAATTCCTTGAACCAAAATGTCGTAAAACGTTAATTTTAGAGTTTTTGATAAGATTTTCCCAAATGCTAAAGTTAAATTCATATGTTAATATTTAATTTGGAGAGAGCAAAATCATTGTGGGGAGTGAAGGTCTACAAGCGGTAATGATGAACCTTCATATACATGAAATAAAAAGTAAATATTTACTACTAAACTCAATATTTTTATTTCAAAAAGAAAACGTAAAAAAATTGTGAGAAGGCTTACAAAATTTCATGGACCTGAAAGAAATGACACTTACATGTACTCTCTCCGTTATGTTTTTTTAACTGTTTTTTTAAGTCGTACTCGATTAACTATAAATAAAAATAACTAATGAACTAAAATATAAAAATTACTTTTTCCTTTTTACATTTGCTTTAAAATGTACGTAGTAATGAATATGTTAATAATGAATGGGTACTGTATATATGATGAGTAGATTAATACTCCGTAATTAATAGGGATATTTATTTGATTTTATGTGAGAGATAATACTTTTTGTTTGGACAGATGAAAATGTAAAGCAGAAATGTTTTTGGGATGGAAGAAATTTTTAACTAGGTCTCGCAAATTTTTTTTTCTTTTCTCATCCGTTCCAAAAAACTCTTCGCATTTCTACTAAAAAATCACTTTTACCTTTATTAATTTTTAACCTACCTATTACGTCACACTTTTTCACTATTAATCTATCATAATATCCTACTTCATTCATCACATCCGATCTAAAGTCATTTTTGAAAAGTCAATACCAAAATATACTTTTCTTAAATCATTTAAAAATCAAAACTAAAAAAATTTTGTGATATATTGTCCAAGTGAGATGTTGGACACGAAAATAAAACAGATACTCCCTCCGTCCCTAAATATTTGCCACACTTGTATTCCCGAGGCAAAATATCAAGTTTTTTCAATTTATTTTATTTACATATTGGTATAAAAATAAAAAATAAAATTTACATATCAAAAAACTACATGAAAAATTCTTTGAAATAAGAGGTGTCAAGAATATTTTATTTTATCAAATAACCATTGAAAACATAGAAATAAACAAAAGTTTCCTCGACTGCTAAAAAAGCAAACGTTGCAAATAATTTGGGACAGTGGGAGTAAATTAATTAAAAAGAATGGGAGAGTATTCTTTAGCCTTTTCTTTAATTAATTTGTCACATTAATTAGTTATTTGACAATAATGGGAATAAAGATGGGTAGAGTAAGTTGTCAAGCCTGCCCCAACAATATATCATCTGTCCATAAGTTACGCAAAAGTTACACACTAACCATAACAATTACGGAGTAATTAACAAGTCACCTATATATCTCTTCCTTCTTATTTCCAAATTCCATTCCTTAATCCTTACAATTACATACCCATCATTGTATAATTGGTCATTTAAAATTTAATTAATTTAGCATTAATTTTAAAGCTACAAATACTTCACACATTTAAAAAAAGAACGATTATGATACGATACCACCGTTTATTTTTTTTAAAAAAAAAGTCAATCTGACTTCATTTAAAAGATTATGAATGTGGATTAAAGTGCAATGGCTATACAAATTGATTAAAAACTAAATCGGTAACTCGTGAATTAGTCACGATTTTGGTCAAGTTGAGCCTATTTGTATTGATTGGTTTTTGAATTGTACTTTTTTTGTTTGAAAGAGAGCATTGTACTTGGTATATATTCTCGCTACCACAAAATAAATTTTTGAATGAGGCATGTTATAAAATCGTGATCTCTTGGATATAAAAAGAAGGTTTTTGTTGTTACTTTGCCACAAATTACTAGAAACGTGCATGTTATAAGCCTTATTTTAGTTTAAAGGAGAGAACAACAATTCTTTAGTTAAAATTAAAAGTTTTTTTACAACTTTTAAAAAAGTGTTGGAAATGAGGTTTACACCAATTACCTCGATTAAGGATGGGTTACATTCTCGAGAGTCTTCTCAGAATCAAATGGATAGTTACTTCAAATGAGAGAAACTGAACAATAGTCACAAACTTGCTCGCCAAGGATTGAGTGCCTGACAGTTGAATCGAACCACACCTTGAGTGCGTGACAAGCGAATCAATAATTGACGAACCCCTGACTAAGCTGATACTTCATTTTTCCAAAAGATATCGTCCCGATTTGAACAATGAATAAAATCTCATCTCTTTAAAAATGTACGTACTCCGTACTATTTACAAATTAGTACGGGTAAATTAATTAAAGGTACTCCCTCCGTTCCTTTAAATCCTTTCTATTTTGACTTTGGGCCAAAATAAGAAAAATGTAATTTTAGTTGACTTTCCAATTTTGACCCTGATATAATAGGTAAAAGTAAGATGTGATAATTTGGTTATTAGTGAAAAAGTATGATTTGATAGATATGATATAAAAAATAGGGGTAAAGTGGTTTTTAAATAGAAACTGAAAGTGTTTTAGGCAATTAGAAAAAAAACGAAAGAGGAAGAATTTAATGGAACGAAAGAAGTATAACTTATATAAATATAATGGTATTATCTAAAATGCCTAAAATTTATTATATTTACCTTTTATAGTGGGTAAAAATTATTTTGAAAGTTTTTTTCGCATTTGAAATGAGATAAAAGTATTTTTTATGCGATGCACAAAAAATGAAACTTCACCTTCTTTTTGAAATGCTCCGTATCATTTTAAGTGATGTACAAAATGAGAAATAATTTTAAAAAAAATCGCAATGTCTTGTTATAGTTTATAATTGCCTAAAACACAAAAAAGATAACCCTGAGTTTTTTTTGTTGAAAAGGACATGCGAGACGGGCACTCCAAATCTACCACCTCTCACTATGTGCATATAATCCATCTTTCCTTCTAAAAACAAATTTCTCACTTTTCTTTTTCATTATTTTTTTCAAAATAATTTTTTTATTTCTCTTAAAAATATTGAGTGGTTCACAATTATATACTACCTCCGTTTCTCAAAAGAGTTCCTCTTTTGACTTTGGGGAAAATAAGAAAGTGTTAAATTGTAGTTGACTTTTCAATTTTGCCCTTGATGTGATGGGTAAAAGTAAGATGTGATAGTTTAGTTGTTAGTGAAAAAGTATAATGTGATAGGTATGGTATGAAAAAGTAGGGATAAAAGTGGTTTTTTAATAGAAAGGGGAAGTGTTTTAAGAAAAAATGAAAGAGGAAGAGTTTTAAGAAACGGAGAGAGTATTTCTTTATCTTCCGCATAAATTTTAACTACAAATATCACTTTAATATTTATAAATTTGTAAAAGTTAAATGAGATAATTTAATTTGAGAAAAATATATAAATATAAAAGCAAGGAAGGTATAGGTAGCGTTTCATTTTCTACCAATCCTCAACTACAAATTAAATTACGGAGCGTACATATAGATATATAAATATATATATTGAGAGACTCATACAAAGAAAGCCAGCACGGTCTTCTCATCGATCGGAAATTAAAGATGGCATTTTTGGCGTTTGCAACAATGATAGTTCTTGCAATTCTTGAAATTCCGGCGGCGGCGAACCCACTATTCGAACGCTACTCCGGGTGCAGGGAGGAGCTGGCGGCGATAGGAGGCTACGGGGAAGAAAAGCTATCAACTGTTATAATTTATGGCACAGTTCTATGCCACCCTTGTGGCGGTGGTCGTCGTCATCCCCATCTGCTCCGCCTTAAACCTCATCCCATCTCAGGTCTCTCTACCTATCTATCTAATGGGCTGTTTGTTTCAGCCTCTTAATTGTTCAGATGTCTGAATGGTTCATCACTTAATGGTTCAGACTGTTTGTTTCAGCCTCTTAATGGTTCAGATGTCTGAATGGTTAAGAGATTTGCCTCTGAATGGTTAAGTATTATACAAAGTCTGAATGGTTAAGACCTCTAATCTGAATTAATCAGACATTTGTCTCTAAATAGTTAAGCAATATACTAGCTTTTAATGGTTCAGACCTCTTATTGGTTCAGCGCTTAATGGTTCAGCACTTACCTATTCAGAAGTTGCCAAACAGCCCCTAAGTACTCCCTCCAATTTCTTCATAATTTTATTCATAATTGATTTTCTTTGTTACTCCGTTCCCTTTATTTTAAAATACTCCGTAGTTCCTATTTTGATTTTTGATAGATTTATTTTTGTAATTCTACTTTTCAATTATATTTTTAGAATTTAATAAGTAAATTCTATTAATTGTTCCTAATTGAACGCGATCTTCCCTATTAAATCTTCAACTCTAAAATATTACATAAATAATTTCTAATTCTTTAGAACTATTTTATAATCTGGCCTTCTCAGTCAGAAAAAATATTTTGTTAAATTTGGCATAAATGACTATTTATAGAATATTTTTCAAAATAGTCACACAGAAATATGTGTGTTTATATATATATATATATATATATATATATATATATATATATATATATATATATATATATATATATATATATATATATATATATATATATATAGACACACACATTTAAAATTTAATGGGTTAATTATATTTTTGGTCTTTGTAAAATTAGCAAGTTTTTTTTGCCCCTCCAAAATATTTTTCAGTTAAATCATCTTTGTAAAATTATTACTTTCGCAAATAGCTAGTCATCTCCTAATTAAAATATATATTTTGATCCTCGTAAAATATATAAAAAAATTAGTCTTCTAAGTTCTTTTGGTTCATTCTTCCTCTTTAATTTTTTAACTTGTTTAATACTCTGTACAAGATTAGCTTATTCTTTTTAGTCAAGATAAGCTTAATTACAATGTCAAAGTTATTGAAATAGCACTAAAACTACATATTTTTCGAAGCTTAATTGAATAACTACCATACACTACCAATTTTTTCTAAAATAATACTACTCCCTCCGTTTCTTAAACCCTTCCTCTTTTATTTTTTTTGTTTTTCTTAAAACACTTTCCCTTTCTATTAAAAAACCACTTTTACTCCTACTTTTTCATACCCTACCTATCACATCATACTTTTTCACTAACAACTAAACTACCACATATTACTTTTACCCATCACATCAAAGGCAAAGTTGGAAAGTCAACTACAATTTAACACTTCCATATTTTTCTCCAAAGTCAAAAGAGGAACTCTTTTGAGAAACGGAGGTAGTAGTATTTAATTTAAAAAAATTAGCTAAATTAATACCGGTGACATTTTTTAATAAATATCTTTACAATCATTATAGAAATAAGAGTAATTTACATAAATAGGACTAAAACATAATGAGTTTCCCAATATAGGACTATATGTTTTTATTTCTCAATGTAGGACTTTTGGTCATTATCAAGTAGTCATTATTCAAGTAAATGTCTATCATTACTGGATATTATTCATCCCACAAGGTCATTATTAGGTCCTATTTACGGAATAAAAAAGTTTAAGTTATTATGTTTTAGTCGCAAATTTCACTAGAAATAATCACCCTAAAAAAATACAGATATCGTCTTAGATGGTGGGGATAAGAATTCTGCTTAAAATCACGAGTGGGAAAAATTATACTAAAAATTTCACTAAAAAGAAATTTGGTACTCCCTCCGTCGCATGAAACATGGGACTTTTGCTTTTTAGGAGGGATTTAAGAGGAGTGTATTTTGGTATTGAATTTCCAAAAATGTCCTTTGATGTGATGGGTAAAAGTATGATTTGATGGATATATTATTAGTAAAAAAAGTATGATGTGATAGTTAGGGTATGAAAAAGTAAGAGGCAAAAGTGACTTTTTAATAGAAATGAGAAGTGTTTTGTGGGACGGATAAAAAAAGAAAGGAGAAAGGTTTCATGGGACGGAGGGAGTACTAATTTAGCAAAAGATTATTTTACTAAATCTAAGAAATTTTTTGAATTAATTTGTAAATATGTAGTTATTTGATGAAGTATTAGGATTAAGAGGAGTGCCAAAATTAAAGTTACTACATGCATGATATGCATGCAGGCGCTTCGGTGGTTGTTTCGTGCGAGACTGATAATAATAATTACAAGAAGAAGAGATTAGGAAGAAGAAGAAGAAGAAGGAGGTGGGACGACATAGAAGAAGAGAAGAAGACGGACGAAAATGGGGAATTCCTCATAGACCTTCCCTCCCATCTCCACGCAATTCCGGACATGGAAAAGGCATGCACCGTCTCCGTTGTCCGCCTCCCCAACGACTCCGCCTGCAACAACCATCCAACAACCTTCACAAACACGCGACCGGCGGCGTCCGCGGCCGCCGCCATCAAGCTGACCTCAAGCAAGGATGGCACCCGCTCTTACACAACCCATAACATAACTCTATCTTGTGACGCCTTAATTTTCACATAAATTATGTTCGTTCGAGCTATACACACACACATACATACATATACTCCGTATATATTAAGGCGTCATGGTGAAGAATTATGAAATGGGTAGATCTAGCCTTTTGAATCTTTTTAGTTGTATTGTGTTATTCCTTTTGAAATAATAATATATATAGGTAAATATACTTAAATAGTACTAAAACATAATGACTTATTTTAAATAGCATCATATGTGTTTTTTCGCAATGTAGCGCTTTTAATCATTATCCATTAGTCATTATATCTATTTAAGTAATTGTTCGTCATTACAAGACATTATTCATCCTTCTAGACATTATTAAGTGCTATTTAGGTAATAAAACACTTTCACTTTTTATTTAAAATCCCCTTTTTACCATTATTTTTTCTTACCTACCTATTACATCATATTTTTTTCTAATAATTTATCTATCATGTTTTATTTTTACCCATTACATCAAAAGTAAAATTGGAATTCAAAAGTACTACTCCCTCCGTTCCACAAAACCCTTCCGGTTTTGACTTTGGAGAAAAATAAGGAAAGTGTAATTTTGGTTGACTTTCCAATTTTGCCCCTGATGTGATGGAAAAAGTAAGATGTGATAGTTTGGTTATTAGTGATAAAGTATGATGTGATAGGTAGGGTATTAAAAAGTAGGGGTAAAAGTGGATTTTTAATAGAAAGTGGAAGTGTTTTGTGGAAAGCAAAAAAAACGAAAGAGGAAGAGTTTTGTGGAACGGAGGGAGTACAATTTAACACTTTTTTATTTTACCACTTTGTGAAAGTGAAACTTTTTTTAAGAACGGAGGAAGTACTAGATATTTTCTAGCAAACCAGCTAGAGTACATAAAACGTGTACCTTAAAGCTTCTTTACCATACAATTTAAGTGTTGACAAATAAAATTAATGAGTGAATAAAGAATGTCCGGTGAGAATTGAACCTGTAAATATAGGATACATTGTTTGAAACAAAATAGACACACTTGTTATATGCTACAAATGCATTAAAATCCATAAAATGAGTATATGAACCTTAGATTCATAGAAAAATTTGTCTACATTATGGACTTTTGAAAATAATGTTAGGAATTAGCATAACTATTTTGAAAAGGTTATCGACGAACAATGTTTAACCTTAGGATTTTCAATATAATCTGCACCATTAAATTTATAGAAATCATCTTAAATAAGATTAAAACATAGAGAAAAGTACCAAAATAGGATTTTCATGTTTTTTTTCCGGAATAAGACTTTGCACTGTGGTAATGTGACTTTGCATTGTGGTAATGTGACAGTGTACATGTGCATATTACTATACTTTTTTTGGTAATGTATATGACCATGTTTGGTAATGTAAGTCTTATTTCGGGAATAAAAACATGAAAATTCCATTTTGATATGTTTTCAATGTTTTAATCATACTTTGGTCTTTTTCCCTTAAATTTACTCTTATTGAAGGAAATATATCCGAAGTAATATTTTTGGGAAGTGAGGTATTACCACTTGAAAAAAAGAGGCCCAATAGCCTAATCTTACAAACCTATTAATTCCCCCACCTTCAAGTAGTTACCCGTCGATCGGGACCCTAACTTCTCCTCTTTTGATCGTCTCAACCGGCAGCCAGCCATCATCTTCTCAATCCGCCGGCGTCCCTTCCATCTTGTGCGCAGATGCGGCCGATATTGATGAAAGGCCACGAGAGGCCGCTGACGTTCCTCAAGTACAACCGGGAAGGCGATCTCCTCTTCTCCTGCGCAAAGGACCACAATCCCACCGTCTGGTTCGCCGACAACGGCGAGCGCCTCGGAACTTACCGCGGCCACAACGGCGCCGTTTGGTCCTGCGACGTCTCCCGGGATTCGACCACAGTCATCACCGCCAGCGCCGATCAGACCTCGAAGCTCTGGGATGTGAAGACCGGCACTCCCCTGTTCACTTTCCAATTCGACTCCCCCTGCAGATCCGTCGATTTCTCAATCGGCGATAAGCTTGCCGTAATCACCACCGACCAATTCCTTGACATTCCTTCCGCTATTCACGTGAAGAGAATATCTATAGATCCCGAAGACGACATTGATGAACAATCTGATGAATCTGTGGTCACAATTAAGGGAGTGTCCGTGGGAAGAAGGATCAATAGGGCCGTTTGGGGACCCTTGAATAGGACTATCATCAGCGGGGGCGATGACGCTGTCCTTCGTATCTGGGACGCCGAAACGGGGAAATTGCTCAAGGAGTCTGATAAGGAATCGGGTCACACGAAGGGGATTACCTCTCTGGTGAAATCCGCGGACGGGTCACACTTCATAACGGGTTCACTAGACAAGTCGGCGAAGCTCTGGGACATTAGGAACTTGACACTTCTCAAAACATACGCGAGCAATAGCCTGGTGAACGCGGTGGACATGTCGCCCCTCGTGGACCACATTGTGCTCGGAGGTGGCCAGGAGGCCCGAGATGTGCCGAAATCGGACGGGGGCAAGTTTGAGGCCAAGTTCTATGACAAGATTCTTGAAGAAGAGATTGGGGGTGTCAAGGGCCACTTTGGACCGATTAACGCTCTGGCATTCAACCCTGATGGGAAGAGCTTTGCAAGTGGTGGGGAAGATGGGTACGTGAGATTGCATCATTTTGACTCCGATTACTTCCATATCAGGATTTAAGTAAGGTTCAAACCCAAAGCACTCACTACATTTGAGTCCAATTGCAGGTTTTTTTTTAGGTTCTCTCTTTTATCAGTTTTGAACTCATCGAAAATTACTCGCGGGTGACGCGAGTTTTGAAGAAATAACTTTCAGGTCCTTCTATTTTAAAAAAGACAACCAAGGTCCTTATATTTTGTTGTAATGACTGAGAGGGACATTTCATCCAATACATCATCGGTAAGTGTTAATAAATGAATTTTTTTCCTGTTTTTCCAATACTTTTTTTTCCTATTTTGCCATTACCTTGTTTTTTCTTTTTTTAAAATTTTTTTATTTCATTTGTTTTAATATAATACAAACAATTTTGAATTTTTATACGATTTTATAGAAAAATTCTAAAATAACACTTTAAAAAAATAGTAACAAAATGAAAGAAAAACAAAGAAATAAAAAAAGGAGCGACTTAAGATTTATTACCTTAAAACATTTAGAAAAGAATAGAAAAAAAATACATTTATTAACGTTTATAGATGAAATATTGGATGAAATGTCCCCTTCCAGTCATTACAACAAAATGTAAGGACCTCTGCTGTCTTTTTGAAAATATAGAGACCTGAGAATTATTTCAACAAAACTCGCGTCACCCGTGAGTAATTTTATGGCTTTTTGATCTTTTAATTAGTTTTGGTTTGAGTGAGTATGGTTTATTTTGGTTTGAAAGAACTTCCACTAGCCATATACTCTCTCCGTCCTAAAATTAATTTTCCAGTTTGACTTTTATAGTCAAATATTTTAAACTTTGATCGTATATTACGAAAAAAGTACATTGAATTTTCATATAAATTTATTAGCAATAGATTCATTTTGAAACATAGTTTTAAAATATATAATTTTTATAAAATATATTTCTATAAAAATTGAGATATTGATTGTCAAAGTGTCGCATCGGAGACCGTGAAAAGTCAAATGAGAAGTTAATTTTAGGATGGAGAGAGTAATAAAATCTTGAAAACTCTTCCAATTTTGTTTTCTAAGTCAAACACACAGACAAATGAATTCTCTTTTCGTTTGTATTTTGACTTTTTGAAAAAAAAAGAGTGTATACTTACTCCGTCCCAAAAAGATTTACACCTTTCAAAAAAATTACGTCCCACAATCTCCTATCCGTTTCTATTAAAAAACCACTTTTACCCTTTACTGTTTCAAACCCAGTCTATCACATCACACTTTTTTCTTAATAATTTACACATCACATCATACTTTTACCCATCACATCAAGGGTATTTTTGGAAAGTCAATATAAAATTATTCATTTCTTAATTTCAATTTTAATCAAAATGTGTAAATCTTTTTAGGACGGAGGTAGTATTTATGATTGACTTTCTAATTTTACCTAGATGTGATGGGTAATGTAAGATGTAATAGATAGATTATTAGTTAAAAATTATGAAGTGATACGTAGTTTAAGAAAAAACAAGGGTAAAAGTGATTTTTAATAGAAAGTGAAAATGTGTTGGAGATAACAAAAAAATGAAAGAGGAAGTCTTTTATGATACGAAGTATTTATCATTTTAAGATTTTTAAAATTTTTACTTCAATGTACTAATATGCAACACAGATTAAGAGTAATTTAAACTAAAAATTTGTCCAGATTTATTACTCCGTATAAAAAAACAAAATATTAAGGCGAAAGTAGTTTAATTAGAATAACTAAAAGAGGGGGTTAGTACATATTTTAATAAGGGGGTGATATTCATCCTCAGGAATACTAAATTCACTCCACACTAAATTCACTCTATTAATATTAATTTCTAAATTATTTTTAATACATGTGCGTATAGAGAATATTTTACAATTTTAAACCTTTCGATAAAATTTTGTTTTGAATCAAAGTATTATTTTCTTTTTATAATTTTCTATTTTTCTACTAAGTTTTTTTTTACTATTACATATGATATTCTTTTAGAATATATATCAAAAGAACTATGTAGATTATAAAAACAGCAAAATGCATGTTGATGTTTGAGGATATTCACATCTAATCGAGCTACACTCATTCACTCAAGAACTTAATATTATAAGATTGGATAAATATTACACTAATAAACATAGTCCCTTTGTCATTTTCATTTTGAAGAAATTTTTATTTCAAAGAGATTTAAGATAAGTGTATTTTGGTATTAAATTTTCAAAAATATCTTTTGATATGATGGATAAAAGTAAGATTTGATGGGTAGATTATTAATTTAAAAAAATGATGTGATAGGTAGGGTATGAAAAATTATTGGGTTGAGGTGATTTTTTTAATAGAAATAAGAAGTGTTTTTGGGACGGATGAAAAAAGGAAGAAGAAAGGTTTTTTGAGATGTATTTTGCAAAAAAATACTCCCTCCGTCCCGGAACACACGAAAGTTTTGATTTTGAAAATGGATTTAAGAGGAGTGTATTTTGGTATTAAATTTGATGAGTTAAAATATGATTTGATGGATAGATTATTAGTAAAAAGGTATGATGTGATAGGTAGAATATGAAAAAGTAAGGGTAAAAGTGATTTTTTAATAAAAATGAGAAGCATTTTTTGGAACGAATGAAAAAAAAGAAAAAGATTTTCGAGACTGAGGTGGTATAACAATGCATTTAGTTGACCGATAGTTCAATTACGTTATTATTATTAACAGAGAAAAAGTTTGACATTTCTCATCGGGAAAAAGAAAAAAGATAAAAGAAGAATCGAGTGACATTTTTCAGCTCTATATGTAACATGGCGCGCGGCATCATTCAATCATATATCAGCTTTTGTGGCCTTAATATAACCGCCGGAGGCGGCGGAATCGCCGGCAATGTCGATGACCTTGGCCTGCTTCTTCTTCTCCTCCGCCACCTTCGGAACCTTGATCTTCAACACTCCGTCCTCCAATCGCGCCTTAATGCGGTCCAGGTCCGCGTTCCCGGGCAACCTGAACTGGCGCCAGAACCTGCCCGCAGCCCGTTTGGCCCAGTGCCACTTCTCCCCTTCGACCTCCTCCTCCGCCTTCCGATCGCCGCTGACCCGGAGCACCTTGTTCTCCTCCACCTCGATCCTCACGTCCTCCCTCCTCATCCCGGGCACGTCCAGCGAGATCACGTGCTCCTTCCCCGTCTCCTTCCAGTCCGCACGCGCCAGCGCCAGAGACTCAGCCGCTTTCGGGATCGTGAGCGGGCTCTGTTCGAGGATCCTGAACGGATCCTCGGACGGGAAGACCTGATCCAAGAGCGGCGAGCGAGCGTACGGCATTAGCGCGTGGGCTGGCGCCGGGAGGAAGGAGGCGGCGAGGAGGAGGAGGTAACCGGCGAAACAGATGATCATCTTGGACGACTTCTCCATTATTGCCACAGCGAAAGGAAACTGAAATTGGTTTATTTGTGGGTATTTACTACGGAGTATTTAATTTGTGACCTTCTTTCAAATGGTTATGGTTGATTGAGAGAGGGAGGGGATGGCGGTGGATTTATAAGGGGTGGATAAATTGTGGCGGTGGTTCCCGAGGGTTCTCTAGAGTTAATTTGTTACTCATTCCGTCCGTCCGAAAATATTCTTTCTGTGTTGACTTGACACGCTTATTAAGGAATAGTAAAAAATACAAAATTTTCAAAAATACACATACTATAAACTTTTAAATATCCTTTTATTATTAAAAAAATACTTAAAAAGTAGATTTGTGATAAAATAGAAGGGTATTATCGATATTTATCCTTAAAAAGTATACTAAAAAGGAAATGAGAAGAATATTTTCAGACGGACCAAAAAAAAAGTGAGAAGAATATTTTCGGACGGAGTGAGCAAGAGAAAATGTTTAATTTGTTAATTTGAGGAGCTGTCTACAAGCTTCTAGAAGTGCATGATTGGTTATGTATGCTGTCTTTACTAAGGGGTCAATTTTCACAAGGACCATGCTACACACTCCCACCCTTGCTACTAATTTTGCCTCCACCCACTTCTCTAGCACATATTTATCTCTACCTATTCTCCACCCACCCTCTAATTTTAATTTTCTTGCCTCCCTACCACATGTTTATGTAGGGGGGCATGGGTGGTAGCAACGGTGGGGGGTTTTTAGCATTTTCCATTTCACAATTGAATTTTTATTTATTTTTTCTTTTCAAATCTACATTTCATTTTTTCCAATGCTCTTTTTTAATTTACGATGCTTAATTGACGTTTTTTAAATAAAAATATATAAACATTTATGTAGAATTAAAAAATAATAATAATATATTCCGTCTAAAATTATCTTCTCATTCACTATTTACAACGTCAAAATTTATTTATTCCCTCCGCCCCATTTTAAATTGCATGTTTGCCTTTTTTTTCCTCCCCAAAATAAGTTGCATGTTAGTTGTTTTAGTAAATTTTTAAAAATAAAATACCTAAACTACCTCTAAAATAAGTCAATCTTCTCCACATTATATTCTCATTCATCATCATCCCTCCTAAAAAGTATTGACAATTTCAGAAAATCAACTCTATTTTTAATTTTTCTTAAATATGCACAAAAGTCAAAACAGTCGATTTAAAACGGGACGGAGGGAGTATTTTATAGGCTATTTCCATCTTCAATTGGAAAAAAATATAGTCCTGTAAGCTCTAGTCTTAAAGATCTTTTGTTGTGGTTTAAAATATATGATTTTTATTTTTTAATTCTATACTCTTCTTTGTATAAAATGATTTGAAATTAACATTAGTCAAACGTCGTAACGAACAACAAATAGATACTATTTGGATCAAGTTAGTACTAAAGAACTACATCAAAAGTTCTAAAAAAATAAGTGATAATATAATTAATTTACCCGGAGTATTTTATAAGGGGTAAAATGGTTTTTTAATATATAAAAAAACATCTTTAGGGGACAACTAACAAATAATCCCTCTGTTCCATTAAACCTTCCCCTCTCTTTTGTTTTCCAATTTCTTAAAACACTTCCACTTTCTATTAAAAAACCACTTTTACTCTTACTTTTTCATACCCTATCTATCACATCATACTTTTTCATTAACAACCAAACTATTACATTTACTTTTCTCCATCACATCAGGACAAAATTGGAAAGTCAATCAAAATTACAGTTACCTTATTTTGGTCCAAAATCAAAATTAATAGTGTTTAAAGGAACGAAGAGAGTAAACGAAAGGAGAGATCTTTTAGGAACGGAGTGGGTACATAAAAACTGAAGAGTTAATTTAACATTGAATAATAATTGTACTATGACTTTTTGTAGTTTGGTAATTATATATACACCATTACGCTTAAGGTTTCAAAATTTACGTCGTTACTTTTATGATTCTGATACTGTTACGACAATGTCCTTCTAGACTAAAATATCCTTCAAATATTATGAGAATAAATGCACTGCCTCCTATGGTTTTGAAAATTGCCACAAACGCCCCCTAGATCTTTTCTTTATTTTTTTCCATACTTTTGTCATAAATGTTTTAAACTTCTTTTTTAATTTTTCTTTATAATGTTTTAATAATCAATTTTTTGTGTTTGCAATAATAAAAATCAATTAAATAACAAGAATTAACGTACACTTCATTTAATTCAAATTAAACATTTTCATTTTTCGTCCAAAAAATGTCTCTATTAGATCATTTTCATGATACGTAAATCAATGAAATGTTCTCTCTTTTTTTACTCAAGTTCACTTCTCATTTTCTGTTAATTAATTTAATATTATTTCTTTTATTTTAATCAAAATTAAAATAAAAGAAAAAAGAATAGAAAAGAAAATAAAGAAAAAGAATTGTTTATTTTCAATCATTTTTACGATATTTAGGGGGTGCTTTCAATTCCGACTCTGCAGGATTTATTTGGATTTTAAAAGTCAATGAGTATTCAATTGAGATTTTGAAAAAACCTTTAAAAATTTAAGATATTCAATTGAGATTTTAAGAAATATTTCTAAATCTAATGATATTGTAAAACTGATGGATTTTTAAAGATTGTTATAAAACATGAATTGTGATGGATTTTGAGCTTAAAGTATAAATAGAAAAATTGCTTCCAAATCCAATCAAAATGCCAGGGATTTTGTGAGGACTCCAAAGAGCCGGTCTTCATCTCCGTTCATCTTCTCCATCTCTTCCGTCGGCCGATCTTCATCTTCTAGATCTCGTGCTTTTCCGGTAGAGCTTCCGCCTCTCACTCCTCATCTCCTTCCCTTTCTTCCTCTTTTCTCCATCTCTCTAGGTATGTCCTCTTAACACCATCCTTCTTCATCTATGTCCCCTTTGCCTTCTTCTTCTACTTGTCTTCTGTTATAGATTTCTAAGCTAATGTGGTTATACTCTCTATGTGTTTAAAGAAATGTCAAGAAGAGCTGCTCTTACTATGTTAAAGAACTGTTAAAACAACTTAAAACAAAATAAAAAATCTCCAATAAAAGGAGAGAATTAGGGATGCTTTAGATATGAACCGGATGGGGATCAAACAAAAATAAGAACAATATAAACTCAATAATGTCTATGTTAGATGTATAGATTTATATACTAGCAAGACATGCACTATATGCGTGGGTGCCCAAACATAGGTGCATTAGATTCAATCTACTGGATTAGATTTACAGAGGCTGTTATTGCTATGTATTTAATCAAATTGAACCAAAAGAAAATAAATTAAATACAATCCACTGCATTAGATTTCGGAAGCACCTGTTATTGCTTTAAATTTAATAAAATTGAACAAAGGGGAATTAAATACAATTTAATCTACTACATTAGACAGAGGAAGAACCTGCTAGTTAAGCGAAGCAGAGAGTAGGAATCTAATGCCATGTCTACAAAATGATATCATTATATACATAAAGTGTTGAAAGAAGATCCACAAACTCAACAAAAACAAAGAAGAGAAGCTAATGCTTGGAGACATGGCATTGCTGAAGCTATGTGGGAGATTGACCACAAAATGATGCTAATGAGGAGAATGAAGAAGGTTTTAGTGATAATGAAGTTGAAATGAAAGACTCTGTTGTTTAATATTTATATTTTTCATTTATCTTTAAATTTTAGATAATGTCTTCTTTTGTATTTTTTATTTTCATTGATGAATTTTGACATAAAAGAAGAATGTTTGAGAGATAATAACAGTTTTAGTTGTAAAAACAAATTTATTGCTTATGACATTGAGTACTACATGGAGTATTATTTTATTCTAATAAACATATTATGATGATGAAATTTTTTTAAAAAAATACTTTATTTTTATTTTATTATAATCTTCTCAAAATTTTTAATAGCTAGTTACAATAGTTCTGTTACAATAATGTATAGCTTTATAAAAAAATTCATATTTATGTATAAATAATATATGGATAATAAACAATCACACAGAATCCTATAAAATCTTGCTGATAAAATACATTAAAATCTAACAAACTCTGGTTAGACTTAAAATAATCCATGGATTTTACATAATCCACAAACTTTAAATAATGTATCGAAATCTTTCAGAATCGTGATTGAATACACCCTCCTTAGTCTTATTCTATGTTTCCAACTATTTTGTGGGTTTTAATGTTGCATTCATTTTTATTTTTTATTTATTTTTGTTCTTTTCTCCCGTTCTTCGTCTCATCTTTTTGTTTTTTACTCCGTATTTTTGCATCTTCTTATCTTGTTTGTTATTTTTTCAATCTATTTTATTTGTACTAGATTCATGCCCGTGCGTTGCACGGCAAATAAAATATTCAATTTTTTTAAATGTAAATTATGTCTACCTAGAAATTTATATTAAATTTCACAAACACATAAATTATTTGAGTTAACGTAAAATATTCCTCATGTTCCAAATTAATGGAGAAAGACTAAAGTAAGAGTACAACATTGAAAATATACTAAAATAAGACTTCTATATTTTTATTCCCCGAATAGGAATTAAAATATATTTACATTACCAAACATAGGTCCTAGAATCATTTCCTGGATTCAATTGAATTTTTTAACTTAAAAAAATACAGTAGGATTTCAAATTTACAAAATTATTCAATATGTTCTTTTTCAAATTTGTGGTCTAAAAATTTTCAAATTTGATGCCAACAAATCAAATAAAAATAAAATCTTTATCTAAAAAAGAATGTCACAGTTCAGTATTCAAAATTTTTGAATTTTTTGTTTATTTATTCGCTTTCATCGATTGTATGATAAAATAATATATTCTAGTCACTTCATATATCAAAAAACTTTTGATATAATCTTTTAAAATGTGAATTATTTTTTTATTTTTATATTAATCCTAAAATAAAGTAAATTGAAAAAAAACATTTTGTTTTGCTAAGGAACATTTTGGGGTGGAATATTATATTGAGACCGAGTGCCCATTGAAGAGAAGATATGAATTTTGAAATTTAAAAAAATGATATGAGTTTTGAAATGCGAAGAAAAAGTGTTGGGTGAAAATAGAAATAAAATTAGATTATACTCACAATTGTTCAATGAGCTATTGAGAAATCAAATGTAAGTATTGGATAATATTTTTATTATAAATTTATTATATAAACTAAAATGTACTCCGTAGTTTATTTAAAATATTGAATTGAAATGATTTAATTCTTGTTAATGGAATTTGAACTTTTTATTTTATTTTTTGGTACAATTTATTTTATAAAAAAATTTATTTATTTTATTAAAATCTATTTTGATTTTGTTTTATTGAATACAAATTTATATAAAAAGATATTGAATAGTAAAGTCTTGGATTTGATCATGTGAGTGCTGTGTTTTGGAGATATCCCCTATCTCGTATTTCATTTCTGGATCAATTTGTTTTGATCTAATAGCGTGGGTGTCTCTTGTAATTTATAAAAAAAGCGTCAAAACCTCCTATTTTTTAAAAAATTATTTGTAAACTTCCTATGATTTCTAAATAGGGCACACATGTCTCTCTTACCTATTTTTAAAGCAAAAATGACATTTATGCCCTTTCTTTTCCTCGATCTTGAATTTTCCCAATTTTATTCTCCTTTATTATACAAATATATAAAATAAAATATATGTGTCCTATCTCAAATTAGAATTTTTCATAATGTACTTTTGAAAACAAAAGACTGTTTTGGAGAATGTTACAAAAGAAAATGAAAAATAAAATATTATGTATAAAATAAAAATAATAATTGAAAAAGGTAATGAAAATAAATAATAATATAAAAAACAGTATTTTCTTTAACTTCGTATTTTATTTCATCTTTATGTTCTTCATTTTTTAAAGTCCTTAAAAAATTATGTTACTATGAAAAAACAAATAAGTTAGAATTTTTAATTAAAGATAGAGTGTGTATATGTTATCTAATTTTTTATTTTATTTATTTTACTTTTACTTATAATGAAAAAGTGTATTTCATTTTTTAATTTTTCATTTTTCCGTAACATTTTCTAAAAAATATATTTTTTTGAAAATTAAATAAATGAAAATTTTTAATTTGAGAAAGAGGGCATATTTTTTTTATGTATTTGTAATAACAAAAAATGCAAATAAAAAAGTTAAATTTGAAGATAGAGAAAAACTAAGAATAGAAATGTCATTTTATGTCTAAAAATAGGCAAGAGGAGGTGTTTGTGCACTATTTAAAACCACAGTGATTTTACAAATAACTTTTGAAAGTAGATGAGGTTTTGGTGCTCTTTTTGTAAATCACGGGGCACCATACTTTTACTCCTATCTTAGATATTGAAACCTATACTTGTTTTATTCTCCAAACATACCCTAATAAAATAAATGGTTAATTTAAAGAAAAATCTTCTTCCATCCCCTAAGTTCCTCTACTCTTTCCCGATCATTTTCTCAAAAAGTTCTATGAAAAATCAATAACAATTTCTTTCATCTTTTTCCCAATCCCTGCACCACGATTGTGATCTCTCTCGCGATCCATTTCCTTAAAAAAATTATGTAGTGAAGGAGAAATTTACGTAAATAGCACTAAAACATAATGACTTTCCCTAAATAGCACTACATGTATTTTTTCTTCCCAATGTAGCACTTTTAGTCATTATCCATTATTAGTCATTATTCAAGTAAATATTCGCCACTACTGATCATTATGGATATTATTAAGTGCTATTTAGGGAATAAAATAATTTAAGTACTATTTGGAGAAATGACTTAAGTTTTAGTGTTATGTAGTGCAAATATTTCTAAGGATTAACCAAACAATTACAATGCATGAGTTAATTTGAACGTATAAAACATTTATTTTAGCAATTATTCACATGTAACAATGAATAGTCGTGCATCCAATATTTATTTAAGGTATACGATATGTCCTTGAAGGCTTGAATGATGTGCCTTTTACATTAAATCAACAAATATATTTGTCTCTGCAACTTCCTAATGCATATTAATTACTATACGTATTAATAACATTTGCTCCCAATACTAAATAAACAACCATTGGCGGCTATACAGCAATGGTGAATCAATGGTGGTTATGCAACATTTATGAAAAAGGTAATTAATCCAGTTCACACGCAAACCAGATGAAACTCTATAATAGCCGTGTATCTACCATGTAAATAAGATGGACGGACCAGATTGGCGAGCGGCTGGGCGGGAATTTTTAATTTTTTATTTTACTGAAAATATGATTGATTTCTTTTGCTTTTGTATATAGTATAGATATATCTACCATTATTACTTGAGTAAATATATTATTTTATTATTTAACATTTATATTCATTCATGTTATGAGATATCTCAAAAATTAAAAATGAATACAACAAATTGACATAATTTGAGCATGTAATGATGTTATTGTAATCTTCAAATATTACATTTTTATGACACATAGTGTATATATGATGTTTTACATTGTGTATATATACACTCTTTCTATTCCATATTAACTATCTATTAACATTTTTATGACACATAGAAAAAATATGTATGCAGTCACCATATAATCTTCAATTTTTCTTAAAAATGTTATTCCCTCCGTCCCATATCTTTCTTCTCACTTTCCTTTTTAAGCTGTCCCACTTGATTCTTCCCGTTTTCTAAAACGGAAATAAAATTTATTTAAAGTTACTAATTAACCCTTTCTTCCTTTATTCTTTTTCTCCCCTCCACAACTCCTCTGTCCTCTTTTCTTTATTGGGTCCTCTTTTCTTTATTCTCCATCAGACCAACCCACCCCACCATTCCTCTTTTTTCTTCTTTTCTTTTTCTTTTCTTTTTTAGTTTTTCTTTCCTCCTTCTTCAACCACCCCCTCCACCCGCACACCTCCTCCTTCTTCTTCTTAACATTTGTGTTCATCATCGCCCACCCCCACCGCGCGTCTTCAACATCACCCCCCCTCTTTTTCTTCGCCGCCGTCGGCCACATGTAGCGGCTCAAAGGATTCTGATATAGAAGTTCGTTCCTCCATCATCCGGGCACTAAATCCAGTCCGTCCTTTCACTGTGAAATGGTTTTAATTTCCTTTTTAGCAAGATCCAGCTAGAAAACCTACAGATCTGGCTCCCATTCACCTTCTTCCTCGGACAAAGCTTTCACGATCAGGTGGCAGCGGTAACGGAAAAGCTTTCGGGCGATGAGGTGATGACAGTCCCAACGACCATGGCGGATTTAAAATAGATCTCACCTTATCTCTTAATATATTTTTTTCAATTTCATTAGCTATTGATTTTGAGCTCAATCTCTTCAAAAACGGAGATGGCAAGAATGGAGTCGGTGGATTTGCAGGGGTGGGTGGGTGAGTTTGAGAATGAAACTTTGCAGGGGTGATGTGGGGTTGAAAGGATAAAAACAAAAGGGCAAATGTGGAAAGTCAAAGCAGTTTTAGCATTACATTGCCAAGTCAAAATGAGAAGTTTCAAGTGGGAAGGAGGGAGTAATAAAGAATTAATATGTATTTATTCAAAATTTTATGTATCTCAAAAATCAAAATGAATAAAATCAAGGACTCATCATTTGAACGTTATTCCCGGAGGCGGTCTTCCTCTTGAACGGAGAGTACCCACGCTTCAGCATCTCCTCCACCTCCTCGAACTGCAGCCCTCTCGTCTCCGGCACCAGAAAGTAAATCGCCACCAGTCCCGCCAGCGAGAACGCGGCGAACAGGAGGAACGTGCCGGAGCTGCCGAGGGCCTCCGTCAGCGACAGGAAGGTCTCGCTGACGACGAGGTTGGAGACCCAGTTGGAGACCGCCGCGATTCCTCCCCCTACTCCCCGGTACCGGAGGGGATAGATCTCGGAGTTCACGATCCACGGAACCGTCCCCATCCCCGGGGAGTAGGATATTATGTATAGCCCGAGGAGGACGACCGCCGCCGGCCCGTATTTGCTCGGGCAGCCCTTGGTGTACCATGAACGCCCTTCGCTTTTGCAGGAGCCTTTGATTAAGTCGGTGGCAGATAAGCACGCACCAGGGTTTAACTGTCATCATCGTCATCGTCATCACGTAATTAATTGAAACCGAATTACTTGGTTAGAGTATAACCTATTGCTACTAGCTCCCATGTTATTAGGGCTCATTTGGAAGAAAAATATTCTCACCCTTACACAAAACTTTTCTCATTTCTTTTTTGATCTGTTCCAAAAAAATCTTTATCATTTCTATTAAAAAATCACTTTTATCCTTAGTAGTTAGTACGGAGTAATTTTTGACCTACCTGTCACATCACACTTTTATCTACCTAGCACATCTACTTTTATCTGTTACATCTAAGGGCATTTTTAGAAAGTCAACACCAAAATACATTTTTTTTAAATCCTTTAATAGCAAAAACCAGAAATGTTTTATGGGACGGTGGTAGTAATTTATTACTCGATCTCTCCGTCTCGTGAAACTTTTTTTTATTAAAAATCGCCCTAAATAGGACTAAAACATAGAGAAAAGTACCAAAATAGGACTTTTATGTTTTTTTTTCGAAATAGGACTTTGTACTGTAGTAATGTGACTTTCCACTGTGGATGGTAATGTGGTAGTGTACATGTGCATATTACTATATTTTTGGGTAATGTATATGACCCATGTATGGTAATGTAAGTCATATTTCGGTAATAAAAACATGAAAGCCCTATTTTGATATATTTTCAATGTTCTAGTCCTACTTTGATCTTTTTTTCCTTTTTTATCTTGCATACTCCCTCCATTTCAAAAATGGTTCCTATTTCAACTTTTGGGAGAAATAAGGAGTATGTATTTGTAATTGATTTTCCATTTTTGTTCTTGATGTTATGAGTTAATGAAATTAAAAAAGAAATATTTGCACTAAATAGCACTAAAACTTAAGTCATTTCCCTAAATAGCACTTAAATTATTTTACTCTCTAAATAGCACTTAATAATGTTCATAATGTTCTGTGATGACGAATATTTACTTGAATAATGACTAATGCATAACGACTAAAAGTGCTACATTGGAAAGAAAAATACATGTAGTACTATCTAGGGAAAATCATTATTCTTTAGTGTTATTTAAGTAAATTCCTTATTTAAAAAAATTATTTATATTTGAGAAGTAATTTATTTGTCATCATTTCAAATGGACTTTTAAATAATTTTATTTGTTTGTAAGTATGAACTGAAGCATGCATATCATACTTACTTTGGTGGCTTTGTTATCGCAAAAGCCGCAATCAGCGGGGCCGGCAATGCAGGACATGCAGTCCCAGGAGGAGGCGTCGACGGCCTTCTGGAACCTAGGGCAAGTGGAGTTGACGCCGAAGTGGGCGGACTCCATCACACTGACCGGCGGGGAATGGGTGGCGGCCTGGTTGAACACGCCGGCGAGAACGAGGAGGCAGACGATGATCCCCACCATGGACGCGATCATCAGCTTCCGGCGCCCGTACCGGTCCACGCAGCACATGCTGACGACGGACCCGGCGGCGTTGATGCCGGAGGTGACGAGGGAGAGGGCGAGGGCGGTCTTGTTGGAGGCAAATCCGGCGAGCTGCAGGATGGAGGGGCTGTAGTACATGACGGTGTTGATGCCGACGAACTGCTGCGCCACCTGAACGGTGATCCCGGCGTAGAGGCCTCGCCGGACGACGGGGTTTCCCCAGGCGCTCTTGAGTTTGGACACCAGGTCGGTCCCGATGGCTCTTTCCTCCGCCTTTTCGCTCTCTATGGAGGCCTGTAATGCCCTCATCTCTTCTTCCACCTCTTCTGTGCTGTATATCTTGTCCAGCACTGCCCTTGCTTCCGATATCTTGTTCTGATGTCAATTCACGAAAGTTTGGATCATATGTTCTTAATGTACTTTTGTGTAAACATTGTGATAAAATCATACTATTTCCGGAAAGCGAAAGTGTCCAAAATCGATCAAAGCACCATGAATAATTCCCAATCGGTCTAAAAAGACCATACATTGCGTATTGGAATATAATTTTGATACATCAATTCTTTTATATACTCCATCCGTCCCATGAAATATGAGATGTTTTGCTTTTTGAAGAGAGTTAAGGGAGTGTATTTTGGTATTGAATTTCCAAAAATGTCCTTTGATGTGATGGGTAAAAGTAGGATTTGATGAGTATGATGTGATAGGTAGGGTATGAAAAAGTAAGGGGTAAAAGTGACTTTTTAATAGAAATGAGAAGTGTTTTATAGGACGAATGAAAAAAGAAAGAAGAAAAATTTTATGGGACGGAGGGATTAATATTTATAAATGAGAATATGTAATGTCATACCCCTTCAAGTGGTGTGACATTTGTGACACTAGTGGTTTTACGGCACCTACGGTGTTTCGTTTGTAAAGTTGATGATTTCGTTTCCCGTAACCCTCCTAAACTTCACCCTCTCTGCCCCTAGATCGTTAATTTGGGGGCCTCCGAATCGGCGATCTAGGTGGTGTAGAGGGGCTGGGGCGAGGTGAAATTCATGGGTTGGGGGTAGGAACGATCAATCTTACGAGCGGAGCACTGTAGGTATTCCAAAACCACTGGTGTCACGAAATGGATGGTGTAATTTTTGTTGGTGTAACATTACATATCCTCTTTATATATTTAATTATGTTTAATTTATCTTAAAAAATACATGAGTGTAATAAGAGTGTACATACCTCTCTATAGAGCCATCTGGGAGACTCAGGCAGGGAAAGCATTAGGGCAAATTGAATCACTGCCGGAAGGCCTGCTATGCCAAGCATCCAACGCCACGTTCCACTAGTCTACAATATTTATTTATAACTTTTAGTCAAAGAATATCACTATTTCACTAAAAGAAATTAAATCAAAACGAGAAAAATTTTTAGGACGGAATATAATGGAGTAGTTGTTACATACCTTGGTGAATGCTAAGTTGATGAGGTAAGAGAGGAACTGTCCTCCGGTGATGAGGAGGCCGTTTGTGCTGACGAGGGCGCCTCTGATCCTCGCCGGCGAGGCCTCAGAGATGTAGAGCGGGGCGGTCATGGACGCCATCCCCACTCCTAACCCCACCAACAGCCGCCCGGCGATTAGTATCCCGGGCCCCGGGGCCGCTGCCATGACAATGGCCCCAAAGAAAAAGACGATGTCCGCTAGGAGGATTGATCTTTTCCGGCCGTACTTGTCGTTCATCCACCCGCCGAATCCCGCTCCCACTATCGCTCCCGCCACCGCCATGCTCACTATCGTCTCCTGCTCATCATCCACCGTCACATACATATACGTATTAATTGATCATGCAGTAATTAATTAATCTAACAAATCGGTATATAAGCTCTTGAATTGAGATGGACAATCGTTTAGATTTCATCTGTCTAAATGTATTTGTAGTGACCTGCAACCAAGTGTTCTTCTCAACGGATTTGAAGTCATCTCGGATGTAAAGTAGGGCTCCAGAGATAACACCTAATTAATAACATGATGAAATGAATGCCAAACTAATAAGTGACCAAGTTGAAATCAATAATTATATATATGGAGTACACTAAATAAAAAAAAACTCAAAACTTTAGTCTTTATTATTTTTATGATGCATGATACATACAATATTTCAATAAATATATATACTTGTAACATAGAAATAATGACGAGATTTACTACTCCCTCCGTCCCTAAATAAAGTTCCATTTTTGACTTTTTGAAGATTTTAGGAGGGATATTTTGGTGTTGACTTTCCAAAAATACCCTTGATGTGATGTGTTAAAGTAAGATGTGATAGGTAGATTATTAGTAAAAAGGTATGATGTGATAGGTAGGGTATGAAAAAGTAAGAGATAAAAGGGGTTTTTTAAGGAAAAAAAGAAGTTTATTTAGGGACAAAGAAAAAACGAAAGAGGAACTTTATTTAGAGACGGAAGGAGTAATAAATTTAGGTAGGGAAAATTAGATTAGGCAATTAATAAGACGTTTGGAGTACTTAACCACATTTAAAAAGATTGAATCTAATCAGTTATTTAGCTCAACATACTAACATTTAGGTAAACTAGAATCTACAATAGAATTTACGGTAATTACGTACCCGTGTCATAACCGAAAAGAAGCCCTCCGATGCCGGCCGACAAGGCGAGGCGCATGATATAAGGCGTTCGCCACGTCGTCTTCCAGCATTCTGAGAGATCTGTTTTGTCCACTTTTTGATGGGCACCTTCCATTAATCTAACACCTGAGAAAAATAACCAATGTTTTCATTAATTAATTAGACTAGAATTAATATGATTTTCAACAATATAATAATTAATACAGATTAATATATACATACATATATACTATAGCTACTTATCTTGTACATACACTTTTATATAAATAAATTCAGCTGTATATGTGTGAGTATATATGCATGTGTTTTCTTCTTTTTAAGCTCCTTTTTTTTTCTGGTGAGAACACTGCAATGAGGCCTGGGTGTGAAAGATCTGATTTGGGAGCTGAGATTAATTAATAATATCAATCTTTCTATATTATAAAAATTGAAATTTTTGTAGAGTATTTAGTTATATATATATATATATACATGGGGAATAATTAAGGGTATTATTATTGTGTTTATGTCTTTTTAATTATTTTTGTGGGAATATAATGAGTGGGAGAGTAATAAGATGGGAAACAGAGCATGAGGGGGCAATGAAGCAAATTTGTAGAGCTAAATTAACGGGAGCTTCGAACTGTGACCTTAAAGATGCGAAACTGACGGACCATTTGGTCTCAAATCTGGTCTAAATTAAACATGGGACATTTGTAATAAGGTTGTTGATCACGGATTAGATGTGGTAATTAACTGTCTTTTCCACAATATTTTCGTGCCCCAAGCAAGTATCAAAATTGACCAGATAGCCTTTTTTTTAAAAAAAGAATTATTTAAGTAGAAGAATGGTAATGGAGTAATTAATTGCTCTCTCTATATATCCCTAGCTAAAAGTGTTTCATGTGTTGTTTTTTTTAAGAGATTTAAAAAGAGTGTGTTTTGATTTTGATTTTTCAAAGATATCTTTAGATGTGATGAGTAAAAGTAAGATATGATAGAGAGATTAATAGTGATAAAATATGATGTGATAACTAAATTTAAAAAAATGACTTATTAATAGAAAATTGAAAGATATTTTTGGGACAAATGAAAATGAAAAACAAAAGATCCTTAGCAATGCGTAATAGCCACATTTGGAAGGGAGTTTAGGGGCGGGTTAGGAGGTAGGAACTGTCAATTTTCTGATTTGAGCACCGTAGGTGCTCCAAAAATGCAGAGTGACACCGTTATGTTAGTCGATGTGTCCACGCCTTAGGGGGTGAATAAAACATTTGAAAATTTTTCGGAGTTTAGTAAAATTGGTGTTGACAAATGTGGAAGCAATGAATAAAATTCAGGAAATAAAAGCGTAAAGTAAGACACACCAAATTTAGACTCGTTCGGGAACTCCCTACTCCATTACCGTAACGCTCCTCCTTAATGGTTAGCCTTAAGATTAATTCATTAAAAATAATTAATTAATTACTGAGACGCACTCGGTGTAATTTTGTAATACTCTTTGTTTGACCAAAAGGTTTATACTGTTGTGTAGAGTTCAACAGAACAAATCCGACGATGCAAACAGATTCGTATTTGGAGCTCGTGCGCCCGAAAAATGCGTTTTAGCCCAGGTACGTTAAGTAAATACGGAGCCCAAAACCCCAAACATATAAATACTCCCCTACACGACCCTAAACCCTCCACGCCACCCAGAATAATTTACGTAAACTCTCTCTCTCTCTCTCGGTTCTCTTTTGTGATCGGAGAACAAAGCAGCGACAACAACGGCGTACCAGGAGAAGAATGAAAAAGAAGGAAGAAGAAGAAATAGGAGTTCGTTGTTCGATTCCTCGCTCGTGATACTATTTAGGTAATCCGTATTATTCGTCGTAATCGAGGCGAGTACGTGGGCATCTAATGTATAGTTACATTCGTAGGTTTGAATCCTACGTTCGTAGAATCGTTACAGTTGAGTTACGTGAAATTCTATGTGATTTATATGTTGTTTATGATGTTTGTCAGTTAAAAACATGAATCAGAATGGGTAAGATTATAAGATTGTTAGATAATGTTTGGAATGGTAATAAGAACCTATTGATGTGTGTTATTATGAATTTGGTGATGGTTTGATGTGGAAAAACGAGTGTCGGGATTCGTCGCGACTGACGATATAGCGATACCGCCGAGATGGTACCGTGCTATCGTCACCACTCTGCGTTTTCCATTCTCTCTGTTGGTACCTATGACAGATAGTAGGCCTTACCGCTGAGTCGGTAGTGGCTACCGTGATAGGCCTATCGGATGAGTACAACGGCTGTTACGGACGGTACTCGTATCATGGGGCGGTACCCAGGTTCCGTGGGGTCGATAGCCTATACCGTTAAGGGTACCGTGAAGTACCTAAACAGTGTCCATTTGTTTGTGTTTCGTGAAGAATTGATTCCAAGACTTGTGTGTTGCATGACGGTAAACATAAGTTCTTACACCTAGAGTTAAGCCATTATTTAGTGATGTTGGATATGTGGACAAATGTATTTTGGATTTGTGAATGTCGTATTATGAACGGTTAACGAATGTTGGATATATTACCTAGAAGAACTCTAGGTACTGACCTGAATGGATAAGTGACAAGGTATGCCATACATTTAGTAAGTTAGAGCCATGTGGTACTCGCTGGGTCCAATGGCGATCCGCCTATTCGGATAAAAACGTGCGCACGAGAATCTATGAACTATCGTTTTGAAGGGGATATGGATCTTACCCACACAACGAGGAACTCTCGAGTTGGTTTGAGTTTGACCTTTGTTTCAAAAGGGAATGTCATGACTCCCATGGGCAAGTTGAGATGAATTAAGCTTTAACCTAACATAGGTTAGGAGCCAAGTATAAAAAAGTAAATTATATTAGTAAGGAAAGTACTTAGCTTTTGTATCATTGCATGATTATATCGTATGAAGTGTTGTGATATTGTTATGTATGATTATGTGCATGATATGTATGATGATATGGTCTAGTGAGGTCATCTATAAGTATAGTTGTATGTTGAATATTTCTCACTTAGCTTCAATGCTCAGCTTGTAGCGTTTGTTCGATCTTTTGCTGCACGTAGGTAACTTAGGGAATGAGAAACTTGAAGCCAATCCCGGAGGTCGATGAGGATGTGGAGATATGGGTGGTGGTCCTTGATGATTTGAATTACTGTTTATCATTTAAATAAGTTATTACTTTTACATGCATGATTCCCAAGTTGTGTTTTGAATTATGTGACTTAAGCTTCCACAAATGTTTTGATTATTATTACTCCGATGGATGTTAAACTATATTTTGAAGTATTACTTTGAATTGTTTTGAAAATTGAGTTGTGTTTGGGTACCAATTTAGTAGCAACTCGGTTCGCTAATCCGAGTATTTGGGTTATGCGAGTTGGGGTGTTACACTATTACACATGGAATATTTAATTATTGTATGTGATGTATGATTTTTTATTTATTATACCATTCAATCTCCAAATATTTAATTTATTTGTTTATTAAAGTATTTCCATTTATGAACTTGTTTTTTAAATAAATATGATTTTTTAAAAATTACATGAAACGTTGGCACAGACTGTTTTCGTGCCAAAAGATCGAGGCGGCATCAAATTTAAATTTTGAAATTCAAAATTATATTTGGCATGGATTTATCCATGTCAAGATTTTAAAATTTTAATATAGTGAAATTTTTTTGGCACGAACAAACTCCGTGTCTACAAGCTGTAACGTTCTAGTTTAGAATCGTGATCTTGGGACGGATTGATCATCTTAAAATCCATGACTAGGCTTGGCACAGACTTTTTGGTCATGCCAAAAGGTTTGGAGACGTCGAAATTTGCACCTCCTCTTTCCATACCAAATTCCGTGTCAAATAGTCTATGCACGGAAAAGTTAAAACTAAAATTTATGCCAAATTCGTGTTTTTTTGTAGTGCATTCTCTTTTAACAGGCTAGGCATGATTTTAAAATAAATTTAATAGTCTAAAATAATTTTAAAATAAGAATTAAAACCATAAATAGTAAGTTTGTAGAGTTTGTGAGTATTCTGTTTGTGAACGTAGCATTGTTTTTTTTATTTTGCAACCCACCATGCATTAATTATTATTAGTGAGTATTATTAGTGAGGTTCATTAGTAGCATGCCATTAGTGATGTGCTAATGATAATTATTAATACGTCCGTTACACTACGTTGCATCTAAAATTTATCCCAAATAATTGGGGATTAATTGCCAATTAACTTCATAAAAATAGACTTATTTTAAACATGTAAAAATCTTAATAGAAGTTTGGTTAAATAAAATACAAAATTGCAATCCTTACCATATTTGTCTATTAATGAGTTAACTCAGAGAATTAATTTTTCATTCATCATTTACCATTTTTGCGTATAAATTATCAAATTTTTTTATCTCATTTAAGAGAATATGCGTCCAGTAATTAACAGTTAAAATCATTAATAGACTTATTTATAAATATACTCAAGTTGGTCATTTAATGACTATTAAAATATGCCAAAATAGTTGTCCGTCCTTTTTTAATCTCCAAAAAAATACTTAGGAACAACAAGAATATGACAAAGTGTCTCACAAATATATACGGAGTATATAATAGTTGCCTGTGTATACAAATATAATTATATTCTTAATAACTGGGCCGAAGAAGCTTAAATGATGTCAAATTTATGGTGTTTTTTTAACATAATTTCTACGGAGTACTTCTCACTATGATACTCTATTAGACGTCATAGTGTTGGTAGGCATTGCGCAATTGATAAAGAGACAGAGAATGTCATATGTGTATACTTCAGTTCAATTTTCGGCAACTGCACACAATTATGTTAAGCATAGAAAGTCTGCAAGTATCAAATATAGACTTTACTAATTGAACTAACCTACAATTAAAATCTAATCTACTTCTTCTCATTAATCCTGCGGCCGAGTTTTACCGAGTCACCATATTTTTTTAATAGACGTAATAGTCTAATGTAACCGACTTTAACAGCAATGCAGTCAGCAAAGTAAAAGCGTTACAATCTCTACACACAGTTGTTTAATTAGTCGCAATTAAAATTTGACTCTGAAAGTCCCGTATCATTTACTCCGTCTTCCCAAACAGCTTAAATCCTGTTTCCCCCACGCGGCCGTACATCCCCTCTCCTTTCCAGCTGCTTCCATTGAAAATCTAACCCTAATCTCTCCTAAAACACCCCGCAATTCGCTCCCTTTTCGTTCATCTCTCACTCTTCATCGGAGACTTGCAGAGAGGGAGAGCCGCCGGCCTTGATTTGATCGCTATCTTGAGAAGAACTGATCGCTGACAGGTATGTGCCGAATTTCTGCAGCTCTCCTTCTGTTAGTGTTTATTTGTAAATTTGCTGAAACATGAATTTTGTCTGTGTTCGTGAACTGCGCAGTATGGAGATTTCACAGTTGCATAAAAGCTTGAAAAATCTCCGGTCTGTTACTATCTTTTCTAGAAATGAGAGTCAAATTGGGTTGGTACATTCTGAAAGCGGAGGGTTATATAGCTGGATTTAGCGTATAAAGGCTCTATTGATCTTTGTTTGGCCAGTTGATGCTGGTCTATAGACTATGGCCCCGTTTGGCATTTAGCGTTTTGAAAAGGCTATCCGATGGTATCCTTTAGCTTTAGCATTTTCGAAATTAAGTGACACATGACCTGCGATAGCTTTCAAATGAAGTGACATGAGGCGCCTTTAGTGTCCCGTTTTAATTTCTTATTTAGTATATTTCCGCTATAACCCTTAGATTTGATTTACCAACATATGGAGCTAAATGAGCCATTATTGGCAATGTTTTTTCTTTAGGCAAATAATGGACTAAATCAAATACGGAGTAGCACATTAAATTTCTCTTGCTTTTTAGTACTTCATATGAAATTTTGGATAGTAAATGCATCAAGGGTCTAACGGAAACCGTCTCTTTGTTTCTAGAGGCGTAGAGCAGTAAGATTCTGTATGTCTTGCTTGACACTCCAAACCTCAACGGAGTTGGGACTAAATTGGGCTTGTAGTTGGTTTTATACAAAATGCATATGCTTAGCATATGTGCTCAATATTTATAGGACTGTAGGACAAATTTTACCTTTTTTAACGTTTTAAAAAGGATCCCAAATATCTGCTGCAGCTCAATTCTACCCTGATTTTGTTGCAGTGCATGTACTGTGGTGGTATCATTCTTTGCAAAGACAAATCGTGAAAGTTGCATGACACGATGAATCCTGAAGGTTCCCAATAATAATATATAGTACTTGGCTTATCATCAGTTTTAAATGAACATTTGGCCACCTGTGATTCTTTTCTTTCTTCCCTTAACAAGCTTAAGCCTTTTTGTCTTGACTATATACCTGCCCTGCGTTCCAAGTTTTGAATCTAAGGATTCTGTCCATATTCTTTAGCTTTGGTACTTCATTCCCTCACCCACCATTTGGCTTGTACATATTGAGGCCAAAGGGCATCTTGGTTTTAGAGAATTGTGGCCATCATTTTTACATGGTAGAGAAGAATGGCCTTTTATTCAGAAGACGAACAACTCGAAGATTATCTTTTCAAGATTGTTTTGGTTGGCGAATCAGCAGTTGGCAAGTCAAATTTGCTTTCCAGATTTGCGAGGAATGAATTCTATCCAAATTCAAAATCAACAATTGGGGTGGAATTCCAGACACAGAAGATGAAAATAAATGGAAAGGAAATTAAGGCCCAGATATGGGATACGGCAGGCCAGGAACGGTTTAGGGCTGTCACATCTGCATATTACAGAGGTGCAGTTGGTGCTCTTCTGGTTTATGACATCAGCAGACGGAAGACTTTTGAGAACGTTAGAAGGTGGCTTAATGAACTTCAGAGTAAGCAATTCAATAATTTTTTTATTTTATTTTTCCTTTTTTGAAACTGGAGGTTGCATCCCATATATCTTAATACTTGTGGGATGACCATAAAATTTTACCATTTTTTAAATTTGATTTCTCGTGCGTGTTTGTTTGTTGGACTTGTCGAGCAGCTCACTCAGACATGAATGTAGTTACAATACTGGTTGGCAACAAATGTGATCTTAAGGATGCCCGGGAAGTGAGCACGGAAGAAGGCCAAGCCTTGGCAGAAGAAGAAAACCTCTTCTTCACAGAAACCTCTGCTTTCGACAATTCGAACGTGTATTCAGCTTTTGAAAGTGTAGTCAAGGAAATCTACGACATTTTGAGCCGGAAGGTTATGGAATCTCAAGAGCTCCAGCAGAAAGAAGCTGGTGGCCGCCGCCTAGCAAATGGGAAACCTGTGGTTTTTCCGAGCAACGGGAATTTTAACGGAGACGAAGCGAAACGTGGGTGCTGTTGGGGTTAGTCATGAACATAGGTCTCCCCCTTTCAAGTGCTTAAACCACTTGTGAACACAGTTTTGTCCCCATTGAAAACTTTAATTCCAACTACTGATTGGCCTTATTTTAGCAGTGTAGTATATTATTGTATTATTTCAACTTGAGAAACATTTTCTTGATGGCATTGGGAAGAGCACATGATGTTTCTGTAACATGCAATGTTGTATTCCTTAATGCGCTTTTTCTTTATCTCATTTCTGTAACATGATGTTAAATTGTTTTGTTCATTTTCTTAGAGTAAATTTCATAATTGGTCTTTTGTAATCGGAGGTTAGCTGCGGTTAGCTTCAAGGGTGTTGTGTGATCCGAAGATTTCGCCTAGAATGAAAGGTAAGTTTTATCGTTCCGTAGTCAGACTTGCTATGTTATATGGGGCAGAGTGTTGGGCGGTTAAGAAGACTCATGTGCGTCGTCTGCATGCGGCGGAGATGCTGATGTTACGATGGATGTGTGGGAAGACAAGGTTGGATAGGATTTCGAACGAAGTTATCCGACGTCAGGTAGGCATGGCACCGGTGGAAGATAAGTTGCGGGAAGCAAGGTTGAGATGGTTTGGCCATGTGAGACGCCCATGTACGGAGATGCGAGAGAATTACGGTTATCGGGGGAAGGGGTAGACCTAGGAAGAATTGGAAGGAGGTGATTAGGCAGGATTTAGGACTTCTCGACCTGACTGAGGATATGGCCCTAGATAGGAACCTTTGGAAAACTAATATTAGAGTAGCTGGATAGGAGCTCGGTGTTGTAAAGGTTGTTTTGTGGTGTGTTGTATTTGTTAGGAATCTTCTGCTATTGCTTGTACGTGTTGCTTGTACTTGGTACTTTATCTGTGTTATACTGTGTTCCCTTCCATATTTTTGTGCAGGTGGAGCCGAGGGTCTCTTGGAAACAGCCTCCCTACTTCCGAGTAGGGGCAAGGTCTGCGTACACACACCCTCCCGAGACCCTACTGTTGTGGGATTCACCTGGGTTGTTGTTGTTGTTGTAATCGGAGGTTTCTCTATTTAGTCTTCTATTATCAAATACTACCCTAGTGATCCTTCTTTTATAGGTATCTTTCCACAAATAGTTCTTTGTAACCAGTTTTCCTCGATTAATTTCACTTCACTTTTAGTATCTTTCGACCTAATTGGAGACGAAGCAGATTCAATTCAAAGGTAAAATCTCTCTCCGTTCCTTTTCCCCATCTCTGGAGATCAATTGGGGATCAATTGGTTCTTAATAGGTTCATACCCCGTTCCTATTAATTTGGGGATCAATTGGTTCTTAATTGTTTCGTGTTTCATGATATTATGCCAGCAATTTTCTAATTCAATAGGTTCATACTTGATTTTAGTCTTAAATTTATATATGGAGTATTAATTCCAATAGACAATTCTGTTAATATTAAAATTTGAATCGACAAGTTATTCTAATATCGAAATTTTTGTGTCATTTATCCCTTGAAACTTTTCAAGAAATGAGCGGACTGAACTTTAAAAATTGCATCAATACCCTCTTAACTTTTAAAAATGTTGCACCAACGCTATTTCTGTGTCAAATTCTGGAGTGCATTAATAAAAGCTCATCAATATACGTATTGGATCTTCATAAAGAGGTTAGGTTGACTGATTGATAACGAGCTTTATCGACTGATATCACGTTTTCAAATTCAGTTATCGACGAGTAGAAAATAATGTTTCAGAATGATATATTGCAAACTTACGTGTGATATATGACTTTAGATGAATCTATACTTTTACTGGATGAGCTTGTGATTAAGGCACTCCTACATCTGATGCAAATGGACCATTGGTGCAACATTTTAAAAAGTTCATGGGGCATTGGTGCAATTCTTAAAATTCAGAAAGAATCCGTACAATTTTTGAAAAGTTCACGAGTAAATGAAGCAAAAAACTCTTTTAATATCAGACCTGTGCCGTGTTTAAGATTGTTGGGTTCATCTCCCTTGTGATTGTTGATTAGTATTGGACATCTTTAAGTATGTTCGAGTATTGAAATATTTACATCTGATGAATCATTGAACTTCAAAATAAACTATTTTCATTTTCGTAGCTGAACTGTATCGATCAATAGGTGGAGTTCAGATTGTGCCTTAATGGATGAAGCTCCCGTGGTAGCTGTTCAACTCAGTGATCTGATCTACCTGATGAGGTCCTTATTCATATCTTGAGTTTTCTCATGCTGAAGGAAGCAGTGAGCACGACAACAATAACAAAAACAACAACAACAAGATTACCCCAGTGCCTCCCTCCCGCCCATTGCGGGGTAAGGGGGCTCGGATATACGTAGTCTGACCCCGAAAGGTAGTAGAATTTGTGGGCTTTTATTCAGATCTTCATGTTTCACAATGTGATTTCCCCGAAAGGCCACTCTTCTTGGGCTTCGTGGTACGAGCCTTTGCTCTTCGTGATGGATCTTCACCCAGGAGTTTCTCTCTACGGTGCGGCGTTCTGGAAGATGGTCCTCTAATCACAACTTGCATTTTTCTTGCAGTTTTACTCAATGTGCAGGTTCTCAATCTACAGATTGAGAAGCCTATCTCCCCTTATGACACTTACCTGCTGGATTTATTCATAAGAAGTGAGTCCTTGAAGCAACTTTGCTAATGTGCAGGTTCTCAATGAATGTTGCGTATTGGGCGACACGACACGGTTAGTTGAGCGTGCGCAAATTGATATCTTTCGCTTTGAAGAAGTTGAACAGGATGTCGTCGTGCCTTGTGGGTTTAAACTACTCTCAATTGTTGCTACTTGCTAATGTGAAGGATCATCCTGTAGGATAAGAAGATTGTCAAGTTTTGTTGACATCTTTTGGATCTTCATTTGGTTGACAAAACAAAGTTGTACTTGCTCTCGTCAATAAAAGAAGTTGTCATTTAAGAACTCAATGAAGATTTGCTCCCCTGTAAGTGATCAATGCTCATATGAAGTCCCCACGTGTGTCTGCTCATACTGCTGGAGGAGACGTCGAAACAGTTTAAGACTTTAAGCCATTTCCTTAAATAGTACTTAAATTGTTTTATTTCCTAAATAGCACTTAATAATGTCCATAATGTCCTGTGATGGCGAATACTTACTTGAATAATGACTAATGTATAATGACTAAAAGTGCTACATTGGGAAGAAAAACACATGTGGTTCTATTTAGAAAAAGTCATTATGTTTTAGTGCTATTTAAGTAAATTCCTCTTAATGTTTCCATGTTGTAACTTGTTTTATTCAAAATAAGTCTAATGTAATTATCTATATACAAATATCCAACTAAATTTTTACTTAATCGATAATCATAAATTTTCCAATTTAATTTAAAAAAATCAAATACTCCCTCCAACCCAAATTAAATTGTTTGTTAACCATTCACAATGTTAAACTTCATTCGCTTTCTTTACTTATTTTTATTAGTTATTTGATAAAATGATATAATCAATTCACATTTTCACTACTAGTTTTGTAAATCTTTGATATAGTTTTTAAAAATGTAATTTTTATTTTTTTAATTTTATATTTAATATAAAATGATTTGAAAATAATTTCAGCCAAACATCGTAAATGGAAACATATAATTTAAATTGGGACGGTGGGAGTACTACGTAGAATGAATAAACAGGGACATAAGGAGTAAGATTTAAGAGCCCGTTTGGTGAGTTTTGGATGTCTCCCCTCTCGTGTGTGGAGTGGGAATAGCTCCTGACCTCCTAGGTCCTTCCTTGGGTGTGGTTGGCCGAAAATGTTATCCTTGATTTTGTTGATGTCAACGATGGAGCCAAAATTTCACCATTTTTTGGCTTTGAGTTGTGATTAAATAAATCAAAATGAATATCTAAACTGTCTGCATTTCTTTAATTAATGAAGTAGCAGTTAGTCAAGCAATGCAACTTTCGACGTTGAGCCGAGGGTCTCTTTGGAAACAACCTCTCTATTTTCGAGTAGGGGCAAGGTCTGCGTACACACCCTCCCCGGACCCTACTCTTGTGGGATTTAACTGGGTTGTTATTGTTGTTGTTGTTGTTTGGTGAGTTTTGGATGTATAATATGATATTGAAATCCCATAGAAATGGTATGAGTTACAAAATCTAAAATGAAGTTTTTTTGAGAGATTTAAATAGGTGTGATCATCGGTTCGGTTCGGTTGATTTTGGCCCAAAACTGATTTAACCGAAAAATAAATGATTCAAAATAACCGACCGAACCGAACTAACCTTGGGCTAAAATGGAACAAATCAAAATTGACAATAATCGAACTGAAGCCGACAATAATTGAACTAACCTTACATTTTGATCTAATCATGAAATAATAAAAAATAAAAGTAAACTACAATCACAAAAAATGCAAAAAGGCATATTGAAGAAACCAATTGTTGAAAATTTACAGATTTAATTAGTAAAAAAGATTAAGATTTACTAAGTGCAAATTTTATTAGTAAAAAAATTTATTTAACACTTCAATTTGTAGATTAATTAATAAAAGAAGAAAAACTTAGGAGTAATTGAAAAAAAGAGGAATAAAGCCTTAAAGGGATGGGCATAAAAATATGGGTGTCTTGAAAATAGAAGGAATAAAGGATTAAAGAGATACTGTTGGGCTCGATTTACTTATTTGGGCTTTAAAATGAGTCATATTAATTTAATAAATATTAGGGGTGAATATGAATTTCGGTTATTCAGTTAACCGAAGAAACTGACATAAAGAATTGAAAGCCGACTGAAATAATTGAAAAATAGATAATTTAAGTAGGGTATTCGAAACCAAAACTGAAAAATCGGTTATTTTGGTTTTCGATTTCGCAGACGGTCTGGTTATTTTATTCACCCCTAGATTTAAAATCATAATTTAATTAATGTTATGTGGGAGTGGCTTGAAACGTGGATGACTGACAGTGACAATGGTAGACACTGGCGGAAAATGATCAATGTTTGAGGATGATATCAAACTCCTATATTGACATATCTCAAATTCAACAAATATCAAAATTCTCCATTTCGAGAATTTGTGATATCTAGATATATCAAATTCGATATATCTTTTTGCCTTCACCAAATACAAAAAATGTTACACTCCCTCCGTCTAAAAAATATCTTTCTGTTTACTAGTCATAAGGTCAAATTTTATTCATTTGGTTGACCTATTTTTATCGTACTTTTGATAAAATAATATAGTTATGTCACTTCTAGTTTTATAGATCTTTGGATGTAGTTTTTTGATATGTAAATTTTATTTTTTAATTTCACATGGTTTTTCATATGAAATGATTTGAAAATAGTTTCAGTCAAACATCGTAACGCGCAATGGTAAGATAATTTTTGAACAGAGAGAGTAATATCTAAAAATATCTAAACTCATAACTCCATTCGGTCCAAAAACCCGTTACTGCTTTGATTTTTTTGGTCAAACAATGACACACTTTGACCACAAATTATGAAAAAAGTATATTTAATTATCATATAAATCGGTTCATCTTACTATATAGGTAGGATATATTAAATTTTTATATCATTTGTTTATTTATATTATGTTTAATTTATAGTAAAAAAATGCCCCTATTTGACCAAAAAATATTTTTAGGACGGGATAAACTTCAAACACTAAATGAAGATAAATGAAAAGAAAAAAAGGATGAGCCCCATCCCGGATGCTCCTCAAACCTAATCGCACGGTGAGTGAAAAGCAACAAATTAAACTTTGCCTCCCCAATTGCCCAATGCCCACCCGAGAAAATAAATGAAAAGAAGTTAAAAAGAAAACGGACAAGAAAGGAGAAGAAAGAAATGAAGAATGCGTGATCTCTCCCGCTAAAACCAAGAATCCATTTCGAGTAATAAAAAAACAAAGAAATCGGTTTCAGAGCAGATTTCAATAAAGCCCTCCGTCATTTCGGTTCTCTTTCGGCCCAACTGTAGACGACGCAGATTCAATTCTAAGGTAAACCATCTCTCCGCTCCTTTTCCCCAGCCCCGTTCTGTGATTTTTGTGTTCTTCCTCTTGATTTAGATCGCGGTAGTCGGTTCTTATTTAGATCTGACTCAATAGATTCACACTTGATTTCTTAGTCCTGGATCTATATATCCATTGAAATGCATTTTTTTCCTTCTCCCCTCTTTTTAATTCTTAGTTTCTATCTAGAATTTCTCAATTTATTTTACTTTAAGAATCAGATTTTAAAGTTAACTTTTCACAAATAACTACACCAGCCATGAACCAATGCTACTTCACAACGTAACAACAGGACTAATAGTTTGTAAAGGTGTATGAAGTATATGTACCCAAAAACACCAATGTGAAATATATGATTGAAAATAATAATTTTAAGGCTAAACTCCACTCTTAGTCCTTCAACTTTATGATTATGAGTTGTGCACAATTGGTCCCTTCAAGTTTTAAAAGTACATGAATAGTCCGTTCAACTTTATAAATTGTGCACGATTAGCACTTCAAGTTTCAAAAGTACATAAATAATCCTTCAAGTACTCGTCGGCCCTTCACATGAGGTCTTTTTGACAGTACACGTTAAAAGATAAACGAAATACTAGCTCCATATGATATGGACTACTCGTACCTATACGTTAAAAGCTGCAATGAGCATCCTTGCCCTCGTTGCTCGCCCGCCTTCACCCCGATGTCTCACCGTGGTGCCAGATGCAACTTTCGGCTTGCGATGGGTGTCCGCCGCTCGCCCCGCCCCTGTGGAGGATGCGGCAGTCTCTCCCCTCCCCATTGTCAATGTTGGGGATAAGTTTTTTTTTTTTAAAAAAATGGGATTCAAATTGTATAAAAGGACACAAAATATTTAAATTGTGGGAACCCATTAATTTCCTATACGTAAAAAACAATCACCTACGTATAGGTGCGAGTACTCCATATTATATGGAGCTAGTACTCTGTTTAGCTTTTAACATGTACTCCCTCCGTCCCGCTATATTCGTCCACTTTTGACTTTTGGAACTGTTCATCTAAGCACTTTGACTCATCAAATTCTCTCAATGTGTAAGCCTAAATATAGTCATGCGTGATCTTGTTTGATTTGTCTTAACATATAGATTATTAATATATAATTTCTATAATTTTTTAATATACAAATTACAAGATAAAATGGATTAAAAAATGTATTGGA